CTCTCTCTCTCTCTCTCTCTCTCTCTCTCTCTCTCTCTCTCTCTCTCTCTCTCTTGCTAACAAACCGACACTACCTTTCAAGATTCGACGCCACGAGTATCATTAACTTTCGGCATCAGCGTTCGGCATTGTAAATCAAAGACGTCGAATTGCTCTTTCATCTCGAAGATGCATAGAAATGAAAAAGATATAAGATCTCGTTCTCTCACTTCTGTTCATTTTCGAGGTAAAAGAGCAATCCGACGTCTTCGATTTATAATGCCGAACGCAGCTATTGACGCCGTTTTTCTCTTTCTCTTAGATTATCACCGAATTTCAAAATCCTGGTTAAGTCCAATAATTGCCTGATTCTATTTCTACACGATTGAGAGACTCTCAACACGTCGCGACAAGCACCGGTTGTGTATATGGAGAAAAGAGGAGATTATTCCCCAATAATATACTTACGATATGTCCCGACTGTCGCACGTCGCTATTTTCGGCCGTCCCGATACTTATTCCCGTGCACGAGACTCACTTTCGACAGACAAAAGGTGTGCAAAACACGGAGTGATGTCGATCGATGTCCATAACAGTTGCTCGATTCGAAAAGATCAATTTTGAAGATAGCCGTGCAATTGCCCACATACTCACAAGTGCGCGCCAAATGTCACAACATTACGATCTGACAAAGACACTCTCTATGGGATCCCTCTCTCTCTCTTGTTAATGGACCGACGTTACCTCCCAAGATAGACGTTGCATATATCTCTGGTGTCATATTATCTATCTATCCTTATTATCATCGGATTTCTAATTTCCGATCAAGAAATCCGTGACGATCGTTCAAATCTAGTACTTGAGTGAGTCGGTAGTAATAACAAGGTTAAAAGATATTCTCGATCCTCTTTTACCTATAAAAGTGCCTCTAAAAGAGGCTTAGAAGCCATCTGATTCGCTGAGAAGCTACATTTAAGGCACTTTTATCGATAAAAGAGGATTCAGAATATGGGCCATCGACTCGACACGTCGCGACAAACACCACTGATATGTCATGTGATATGAGGTTATTTCCAAGTGAGGTACTTAGGCACATTTTTCGCTATTTCGGCACTTCCGATTACTTATTTACTCACTTCCGACAGACAAAAGACGCGTAAGGCTAGTATTAGGCTTGATCTACAATATGTGGAGTACGCCATGTAACAATTAAGCCATAAGAATTGGCCAATCATAATCGATTATTATAAAAATAATAATCTGGCTATGATTGGTCAATTTTTATAGCTCACTAGTTACTCTAAGCTTACTCCGCATATTATAGATCAAACCTTACATGTGACGTGCGACAAGTTTATCGGACATTCTAATTGGCTATCGGATAAAGAATTTCTGTGGTACCTGGAGAAAAGATTAGGGACTTTAGGAGAATTATGTCCATCAGCCAATCAATACGTCCGACAATCCCTGTATACCTTTTGGGCGTTCACGCGCTGTTAGCGTCATTCTATCTTTATCGCTCATTAGATGCGGAAGAAAGATAGAGTGACACTTATAAGCGCCCAAAAGGAACGCAGCCAATATTTGTCATACGATGCATATAATATTAGCCTTAGGCTGGCGAGCGGCACGCCATCTTACGGAGTGCACCGGTACATTTAACATACTTCTCGCCGCGGAGTATCAAAACATCTGGTTGACGCTCTTGAGTCCGGGTGGTTGTCGACCTTGTGTTGTTTTCTCGTGTTTCGTCCGAAATTCACGTTTTCTTCCGATCGAATCATATCCACGTGTCAGTGTCACGACATGCAAGCAGTCAAAAGCCAAGATATGTGAGGAACCAAGACGTATGCCGAGACGCGGCCACGATACATCAAATATCTACAGGTATGTCAGATTGTTTATCATACATAGCGAATTCGGTCACCCGCACTACACCGGGTCAGTGCATATTAAAGACTGTTATACATGAAACAATCATTTAAATAAAAAAAAATAACTGCATTTTTAATTATTAAATACCTAACAATGATATTATCACATTAATTAGTAGAATATACATTAACTGTTTCTACGTCAAAATCCTTCTGTTATGCCATTGTGTTTTGATATTTTATGTGTAACAGCTTTGACTAGGAAGCATGCACTGACCTGTGCTGAGATTCTGTAACTTGTTAATGACAATTTCGTTATCGTTACGCAACTTTTCTACGATATACAAAAGTTGTGCAACGATAACGAAACTGTCGTTAACGAGTTACAGAATCTCAGCACAGGGACCCTATTCTGTAACCACTTATCGACAATTGTCGGATCGGTAGACGTCGTTGCGCAGCTTTTTTATACCATCTATGGTATAAAACCGATCCGACAATTGTTGATAAGTGATTACGGAATAAAGTCCCTGTGCTGGGATTCTGTAACTCGTTATTGGAGTTAACGACAGTTTCGTTATCGTTGCGCAGCTTTTGTATACCGTAGAAAAGCTGCGCAACGATAACAAAACTGTCGTTAACTCCAATAACGAGTTACAGAATAGAGCTACTGATGTAGTGAACGAATTCGCTAACTCCGATTTTAATAAACATTTGACGAACTCTACCGAAAAAAAGGAAATAATTGAGTAGAAATTAGGTTAGCATTTGTCATCATTTGATAACTATAATTTCGCGAATTTTGGATTAACCTACTTTATGTTAATTTGTACCTCTACTTATTTCATACAATCATTCTTGTCGGATCATGACACTTCGTCTGTTCTTTTTAGCTACACTGCTGAACTAGTGCAACTGTTGACGTTTGGCACGCACTTGCGGTGCATGTTGGCAATTGCGCGGTTATCTTCGAGATCGATCTTTTCGAGTCGAGCAACTGTAATGGACACATCGATCGGCATCGCTCCGCGTTTTACGCGCCTTTTGTCTGTCGAAAGTGAGTCTCGTGCGCGGGAATAAATATCGAGAGTGCCGAAAATAGTGACTTGCGACATATGGTAAGTACCTTATTAGAAAGTAATGTATCTCTTTTACTTCTATCTTCTTTCTCTAGTATTGCATATTTTTAATATACATATCGCATCTTGATATACTATTTCACAACTTTGTTGCATATCGCGTGTGTATTTCAGCTGCAGCTTGAATAGCAGAATACTCGTGAGATGATTGATCGTGTTACAATATTTTCGTGAAAGTATCACAGGTTCACGCAAAAATATGTAATCTGCATCGGCTTTCTTTGACGTTATCGAATTCACATTACTATACCTGTCGCAAAAACTTGCCGGTACATATCATGCGAATAGCTTACGAATAAAAGCACAGTGGGATATCAATTCTAACTCCGAATGACTCGACGGCCGTTGCATTGATCATTCGGGAATAACGCTCGTCAGCTCTAAAAAATAACATATTTATAAGTAAAAAATTGGCAGTGTCTTGAACATACACGGAAAAAAAATCTATTACATACGGACAACTAAACATAATTTGCTGTATTAGCCACTTTTTCTTTGCTGCAGGAGCTAATTTCTTTGCTACGATAACAAGAAAATATGCTCTTACAACAAAAAAAGTAGTTAAAGCAGTAAACATAATTATATTTAGTTGTCCATTTGTAGCAAATTTACTACGTTATCCACTTGTTGTAGGAGCAGATTTTCTTGTTATCGTAGCAAGAAAATAGGTTCCTGTAGCAAAGAAAAAGTAACGGCTAAGAAAAGCTAACAGCGAATTATATTTAACTGTCCATATGTAGCAAATTAGTTTGCTGCTGCAGCAAATTATTTTTTTCCACACGGAGAAAAATAATTTTGCTCTTTTAGCAAAATCGTCATTGCGACTGCATATTCGTAGTGACATCAAAAATATTCAGTTGACGTAACTAATTTTACAAATTATTCGTTATCAAAGCAGAAGTAGTTTCGTTGCCAAAATAGAAAAATTTATTGAGTGTATTTGTCCTAAGAATCACGTTAATTTGCTATTGATGCAAAATAATGTATCCTTAGCAAATTTATTTGCTATCGGAGCAAAACTGCAACTGCTTATATAAATCCATCATGGTTCTTATAGCAAAATAATTTGTAGATTCAGCAAATTATATCTAGCAAATAGTGATTAGTACTCTTAGCAAATCTTTTTGCTGTCCATATAATAACGAAAAGATTTTGCTAGACTAGCAGAAAATTTGCTGGGCCAGCAAATTATTTTTCTCCGTACGTGTACGAAAGACGGAAAAATACGACGAACTGAGTCGTGTAAATTGTGCCGATGATAACGTCGCGTAGTCTCGCAAAACACATGAAAGTGCAGCCGAACGAAGAAACACCTTCGTTTTATTCATGCCATAAAATGTGCACAAATAATTTTCATTTTAACGTTCTGAAAAATGCAGCTTGAGTTATACAGCATTATTATTTCTTTTTTTTCTCTTCTTATGTATTGTGCGTTTCCGTCTTGGTCATGACACCACCACACGCAGCATTACGTACCACGAAGAAGCGCGCCTTCCCAGAGAGCGTCTTGATGCACTCGGCCAGAATATATAGACATCCTTACTTAGCAGGAGCAGCGTCGAAAAGCACGCGGTTCATTAAAAGTTCCAACCAGGTTGGAAAAAATCTCATCTATTAAAATTTCACTCGCTTCCAAGCGCTTAAACGAAGGACAGTTCGGAAGCTCGGCTCGATCCCGCCGTTCCCTCTTCTACCTTTCTCTCTTCGTTGCGTCGCTGTGCCGTCGTTCGTTGAAACATTTATCGCCAGCCGGTGAGCGCGTTGCTTTTTCTTAAATACGACTATTTACAGCGGGAGAGAGCTTCGCGGTTTCGTTGGAAACCAATTTCTCCATCCGCGCGTTCCCTTGGACGTTGTCCAAGAGCCGTACGCCCCGAGCGCTTTTTGAGCGGCCGTCGGTCGCGCGGCGCAAAAAGCAGGGTGAGAGAGGCGGCCGTATAACAGGACGCGATGAAACGCTTCAACATGTGTACGATACCTCGCGCCGGTCGGTATAAAGGACGCCACAGGTTGCAAACTGCAAAAGTTTATTTCTTGCACGGCGCGCGGCGATAAACGCTCGTGGACGTCGCCGATGCGGTTATAGTTGCGTTGAAAAAATTGCACGGCTAACTGCGAGAACCCGAAGACCTATTAGTTACTCTGTAAGCTGCCGGGAAGCAGCGATTACCGTGAGGAGAGTGTTTTCATTCTTTTCCTTTTTATCCGGTGTACTCGAAGCTGTGAGAAACGGGAACGACGGGGAGAGAAACTCCACGCGCCGGTTGCCATTCGATATCCAGGAGTCGAAATCACCTTTTGTGATTACAGGAGTTGAGTAAATATGAAGTCATGATGCAATTACAAGTTTTCTAGGTGTGCACTGAAAAAAGAATCTTGTAATAGTTAACAATTGCATTTCCTGGAATGTTTCAGTACAATATTTGGTGATTACTGTCAAATATGGTAATAGTTATCAGAATTGTCTCTAGCAATAATTAGTAAAATAAATTCTTCATTTTAATTTACTATTTACCAAACAATTTAATTCAACTAAACGCAGCATTTATTTTAATAATTATTTTGTAATTATTACCCTCTTCCCCCAGAGACGGTTATAATGCCTATTAACATATTTGATACTAACTACCAAATATTGCATTAAATCGTTCAACCAAGTACGCTTGTTAATTATTACAAGATTTTTGTTCAATGTACGTCTAGAAAATTGTTTAGTAAATGATATTAAACAGTTTGATAATGACTACTAAGTAGTTTGACTATTATCAAAATATTTGGCTATTTCATATATTAATCGGCTTATTTTACAAATCATTTCACGATATATGCAATTGGTGATAATCACCAAGTCTTAACAACGGATATCAAGTTTTATTGTGTTTTAATATTTGTCAAATTATTATATTATATTATACGTTCAAGTGAAACTATTTTACCAAAGCATCTGTATGGAAAATATAACTCCATTAATACGTAACTGAATTTTCTGTTACCTGGAGACCAAAAGAAAAACTCGGTTGTAGGAATAGAAAGATTCCTGTAGGAGGTTTTTCCTCAAGTCAATTGCTCTCAATTACTTCAAGCGAGTTTCAACGCAACTAAATATTCAGCCGAATGTTTCCAGTAACAAAGACATTATTTCTCGTCAACAAGTTTTTCGTCTGATCCCTACTCAGTCTCACAAACTTAATTTTTTTCCGCATGATAACTATTATCCAAGCTTGATGAATTATTACTTTTTTTCAGTATATATGTATATGAACTTATTGAATTAATGATTTCGGCGTAAAATACATTCTTCTCTATCGAAAATCGAACTCATCAAGTTGCATATTGAAATCCCTATCATTGTAATGTCGTTAGCGCGTTCACCGTTCTAAAAATTTAACAGACGCACCGTATGTATCTACTCGAGCAATTTCTCTCACGCAAGCAACGATCTATTTCCACAAACTGATGTATCTTGAATTAAAAGAAACACATAAGACGCGCATCTACAAGCGAGACACTATAAACATTATCCCTTGCAAAAGTCAATTTTGAACTCGCTTAGAGGATCCATCAGCGTTCCACTCACGTTCATACACGCGCACATCTGTATATCGGTAAATAGCTGCATAGATACGCGCGTATCTCGCGCCGTGTGATGTACAAGCGGTTATACATAGCGGCACGATACGACCCGGCTACAGGCGGGGGATATACGGCGGAAGAAGGCATCGACCCGCGGCTTTTATGAAGATAACATCTCTGCTTATGAAGCATAGCTTATCTACCGACCTCGCCATAGATCTTTCAGCGCGTACGGAAGCCCTCCTTGCCGCCTGTATAACCAGCCACCACCATCACCGCCGGGGCCAGACCGCCTTCCATAATCCATTATAGTTTCTAAAACGGCCCGCAACAACCGGGAAATGCGAGTCCGTGTTGCGGCAAGAAGCTGTTTACGAGGCGCACAACGCGACCGGCGAAAATTCGCGAAACACGTGCGTCCGCACCCGCGTGCTTCACGACCCTGTCCGCATGGGTGTACGATGATTTACTCACGTGTGGACCGCTGCTTACTCTCGATTGTTTTTCCGCCGCGTTACGGTGTCGTCGACTGGAACAAGAAACCGTGAACCGTGAGATTCATAAGATAAAAGTACCACTGTCTGGACACGCACTAACTCTGGACACATTCTTACTGTCTTTTGTTCTTTAAATACAAATACTTAAACTTTTAATACACAGAATATGTACACGTTGAACATATAGCGCGAATGGAAAAAGATGTAATAAGAGAAAAACAAACAAGATGTTTCACTTTTTTAATTAATGAGGCATCGATCTTATGCTGAGTCAATTTTATTTGCTTGAATAAAAATTCAAATATGCTTGGTAGTTTCGATATTTCAAATAATCAAAATTACAGCGACATGTCAATAAGAAGTGGTACATGAGAAGATTTTTATCAGCACATGTCGAAAATAAGTTGGAAATTTTGTGCAATTACTAGAAGTTCCGGAAACATTGACCTCCGTAAGAGATCAAAAAAGTAACTTTTATAGCAAACGCTTCGGAACTCTCGTAAAGTATCGATGGCGCTAAAGTCTTGACATATCTTGAAAGTCTTCAAACTCTCTAAAGGTCTGGAAGAATTTATGGCTACATGAGCACGTACACTCGAGAGGATTTCGCGTGAACAAAAAGATAAACTATCGCAAATATCGGTAACTTCGCACGTAAAGAAAACGTTCAAGGATATCAAAGATTCTTCTGAAAGAATCTTCGCGAATATGATTGATTTTAAATAAGATAGTGATATGTATATTTCTTTCATTGATTCTTCAGAATTTTTTACGATCACCTGTATATTGAGAGCAAATTTTTTCAGAGGGGCGCTCCTTTTCAAAAACAATCCATTAGTTTATCGCTACTCTATCTTCATTCTTACACAGCGCTGGACATGACACTCTTAAGAGCAACATGAAATATTCTAAAGGACATTTACGAGTCTCAATATATATATCTGCATTTATCGTCAGAAACGCACGAGCACTTTCAGCATTGCCGTTACTTGGGCCGCTGGTTCTCAAACTGTAGAGTACGAGGAAATTCCAAGACGCGGATGTCCAACTAAATAGAGAAAAAACTTTAATTAACGTTACAAAAAAAAGGCCGATAATCGATCAAATCCTCATTAGAAATAAATTGTATCCCCGTTGGAGCATACATTATTTTGTTTCCATGAAAAGATGAAACAGATAAGAATCTTCTTCGTATATCTGAACCTTATTATCATTCCGCGGTAAATTTTTGTCAGAACAGTCGAGAGTGTCGAGAGTGCCGTCGAGGCGAGATTAAAAGGATCAGGAACCTCTGCACCACGGGCGCACCTCGCCTCCAATTTCCCGAAGGATCCCTCGGACACGTTGCAACTCAGTGTAATGCGTACGTAAGCAGCGCGGCTTCAACATTAAACGGTCATTTCTTTCTCTTTTCGCAACGCTACACCCATCAAACCGCATTCCTCAAGAAAGTTGCGGCGTGCATCGTATATACGGCCGAGTAGCAGCGCACACCGGGATTATCTGCGAGCATGTTAATGAAAAGACGACCGTTCGCGGATGCACGAGTCGCCGCCGCCGCCGCCGCCGCGAGGCCAGCGGGGAGGATGACGTTCCGAGAGGCGTAGAGAAACGTGCGTTGACTTCCGATGATTAATGTGACGTTATATTGTCCGTTACATACGCATAAACCACGGACACGCTTGTACCGCGCGCTTTACAGAACGTAATAAAGGATAAACTTTAATGACCGCGCGTGACGAGCGAGCAGGTGCGTCTGGCACGGATGCAATCGCCGTCGTGAGCGTATCTTGCACGTGTACTGCCTGTTAGAGAGATGCAATCGGCAAGCGGGACGGAAAGCACGTGAATTTTTTAACAGCAAGGTGGACCGCAAGACAAATCTTCCGGCGCGAACGTTTCGTTTCGGGACATAGGAGCGCTCGTCTGCGCATAATGGATGCGTCACTGATGAGAATTTGTTGCAATTCTTTCTCGTCGGGCTTCTGCCCCTTCTGCTCTCTGTACAAATTAATTTTAACGAGACCAAGAGACGATACGTATCTCTCTATAGTGTAGAAGGAAGCCTCTTTCTCTTCTTTTTCGTTCCGGTCTCTACCGTTCCTCCGCAGGGATAAGTGATCCTTGTATTCGGCGAAAGGAGCGCGCGCGAGAGGAGGGTTTCGACTTGATCATATTCTTCCGAGGCTTCGGCTGCAACGGGATTAACCGTGGAACGTGTATGAAGAAAATCACGATGAAGACCTCGCCTCACCACGCCTCGCTCGACCTCGCCTCATCAGTTTCGCCGGCAACTCCGCGCTGCGAGTATCTTCTCCGCGAGTTGCCGGACGTTCCGCGTGTGTATGCGATCCCATCGCGCCGCTCACTTCATCCCCGTTTTCCGCACTTCGCGGGAGGGGACGTGATAAATGCTCCGACACTGACATCAGAAAAATACACTCTCGTTTCTTTAACACGTCGGTGCCCCGGCAACCCCTTATCTCCCGACTCGAGCCACTCTCCTTCTGAGAAATGACTTGTTAAAAAAATGGAAAAGAAAAGAAAAGGGAAAGAGGAAAAACCGACCAGTCGGATTTTTACGCTTGCTATTTACGTCTATTACGACTTAACGATCCCGAGACCGTTTGCACGCGATATAACTCAAGCGGGGTATCCCGGAGAACAGAATTAATACTCGCACGGTAAATATACCGCAGGATGCAGAATGAATGAATGCATCTTGTGTGCTGACGGTGCAGCGTCTTTAATATACATCCTTTGTACATTGCACAATTGTACATGTACATTATACAAATGCACATTAATAAGTACAGAACAGAGAAATAATTGTACGTTCGTGTATCGCCGTGTTTAGCGCGAGTGTTAACGTGTGCAATCTGTCCGTTCTCGCGAGTCATTTCAATCACGAGCCGTCTCTTTGATACGGTTGCACTATGCATATATATTACACGTTGATTCATATCTATTTATATCTTATGATACAAGTACAAAAAAAGATACCGTATTTACAATATTTATTTCTGTGTGTTCACTCAATTATGAGTCACACGACGCAAAGTAGAAAATAAGTTAGGCTTACAGCTTTCTCGCGATCACAGTCGTTACAGTTTAATCGATTCTCAATTTTATTATCTTTTTTTTCCTTTTTTTCTTTCATATTTAACACATATTTAACACTCGCAATTGGAACATTGGACACATATTGCACTAATGTTAGGATATCTACTTATACACGATACATCAAAAATGCCGTTTGGGATTGACTCAGAGAAGCAATGTATCGTAATATATGAAATAACGTATCGACTTGATAAGCATTCGTGTGATGTGTATGTAACAAGTACCGCGTTCTTCGAGTACGTGTGCCTGTAGTCACGAGGTAACAGGGTACGAAAAGTGCGGTTATGAAAGCAGGGACAAATTGACGGAAAGTATCGTGCTATTATTCTCAAGATAAGAATAACGATATCGCTTTAATAATTTGTCCTCCTGAATGCATAACTTAACAACCTGAGCAATATTATTTGCGCGCGCAGTTCGATTATTATGTATAATAACAACTTTTAATAAACATATTAAAAGTTCGTGAATATACATATTAAACTTTTTAACATACAATAAAAAATATTTATAACATAATAGAACGAAAACAATTGTACATATACAACTATTCCGCGATATTTAATATTTACTAAATATTTACTAAATATTCGACGTTAACCAACGGGCATTACGTTTTTTGAAATTGCGTTTTTAAATTAAAGATTTTTTAAAATCCTTTTGACGTTCACTAATAAAATCTGAATCGAGAGTTAAAAGACTCGTTGAGTTTGAAGGACTCGGTTCGAAAAGATTAAATATACAGGGTGTCCCATTTTAAAAATTGCATTAAAATATCTCTTCAGAAAAGCAGCATTTTCAGAAAAAATTTTCAGACAAAAGTTGTAAAATTTACATTATACTGTTATAAATTCTATGATCATTCTTTCATTTGCTTAATACACCGAATCACTTCAATTTTTACGATCTTTATAACTCAATATTAAGCAAACGATATTATTCATAATTTCTTACGCCTGCGGTCGTAATTAAATGATTAAGAGACATTTAAAATCACGTCATATATGAAGTCACTCTGTTTTTGAAAATATTCGATTGCGACAGACAGCGGCCGGTTTTACTCAAAAAGTGGAAAATATGCAAGCACGGAAAATCATGAAAAACGGTGTCGTACATCACGAGGCTCAGAACACTACTCCTTCTTAATCCACTTTGGGCCGCGAAATTATACTGCGAATATTCACGGGTTTCACGGCACTCGTATTAAGTAAAATTCGTAGTTTACGAGCAACATATTCCCACGTCGGGCATAACTTCTTGTAAAAGTGATAAAAATAGTCTGATCTCTTAGGTGTCGTTGTATACGCGATTATCACAGGTAAGTAACGTGCTGCTAATTTATAACAACGGAGAAGAGACAGTCGCTGACTAATTTAAAAATAGAACTTATTATCACCTCCAGTATCGTGATCATTTGGACGATCACCAAACCGTGTAATATCAGGATGAGTGTCTCTATTTTGTACGTGTTGCGAAACTTCTCCATCAGCGCAAAGTAAATACGTCGCGATGCCCGAATACTGAATCCGCTCAGTCTTTCCATTGTGTGATGTAGCTTGGCATGTTCGCTGCATAGACGTTCTATAAAGATAAAATCGATAAAAATTATCGTAGAATAAAATGTAATGTCCCCGACTAATTGACAGCGATAATTCGATTGCATAATTGCCTCGGCGTAAAAATCAAGTGTGATTCACTGTTTGACCTCGTGACTCGTGGTCCACAAGACGACCCAAAATAATCGCGATCTTTCCGTGTCGAGCTTGATGAATCTGACGATAACTTTCTCTTAGAAAAAGAAGTTGGTTCACATTTTGCTTTCGTGCTTTTCAGATGCTTGATATGTCATGTGACCGAGAAGAGAATGGATCTCCTGAGAATGGGATCTGGAGACGAGATCGCGGATCGCTTCATATTACACCATAAACGAAGAAGATACGTTACCTGGATCAGAATGAGATTCTTCCAACGGTGGTGGTAAGTACTTGTCCAACATAATTTCGGCAAGATCTGTGGTGTTGTCCACAGTCTTCAGGATATTGATGCCTGTCTCGGTCGACATGACCCTATCCGCTTGTTGCCAACCGTAGACTCTTAAGTAATGTACCTTGTAATATGTGAGTAAAGTCATGATCCTCACTCGCTGCTTAGTCTCGTGCGTTAGATCGGTAAAAGTCTTCACCGCCGGACGGAGACGTTCGGATACCATAGACCTGGTGCGATTTAATATCTATAACGAAAAGAGAATATCAGTTATATGGAAATATCAGTCAGATTCAAAGTCGAGCTATTTGAATGTAAAGAGGCGCGTTACCTGTTTGGGTTCCTCCTTAATAATAGGCAGCTTTACCTCCACGAAATCGATACCCTGGCACAACGTTTTGTCTAGAGTGTATATTGGCTTCTCAATTAATCTGGCAACCGGCAAAGACTTTTCTATCATCACGTTCACCATGCTCTCAACAGTGTCGAAGGCCCAATTCACAAACGTGTTTGCGCCTTTCACACGTCCGTATACTTCTGTAGACTTGTCCCACAAGTAATTGACACTAGGTATCTTACGAGCACGATCGACAGCTTGAATGCGGTAAAACTGATCTGAGAGTTCTGTATCCATGGCTGCGATCAAACTGAGATCTCCTTCTCATGGATAAAGTAGTAGTGACTCCTCAGATTCTCGTGACAGCGAAATCTGTAACGACAGAAGTGAGATTCAAATTGAAATGAGAAACACACAAATTGAATCACACGTCGAGCTACAAATAACAAATGCCTGTATGACCTTCTCTCACATATTACACGGAGAAAATATTATAGTTTTTTTCTTTAAACTGTCAAATAAAGACTATCTTGCTAAAGAATACAGTAAATTTTATATAGCAAATATTTTAATAGCATATTTTAGTCCCTAAAACTTAAGTAGTACATATAAAATAAAAAGATAGAGTGAATTACTATAGAATGTAGACCTATTCCTCGATTACAAATCTTATAGTAATTTATCTTATAGTATATAAATTTTATAGTAATTTTCACTATAAAATTCTGCCCGTGTACTTGTGTACAACTCATTAATAAAATTTTACGTGTTTTAATATTTGTATATGTCAAACGTGGATCATAAAACATTTTTTTCTCGCGGACCGTTCCTTTGCGCCGGTCATCGACCATTATATCATAATTTTTACTGTAGTCTATTGTTCCAAGCAGTACACAATTCAACAGTAAACATTACACAACCCAAACAATTCTTTATAATACACTGTTCCCTTGGCAGTTTACGTGACTTGTAGTTCAAGCGAGACATACGTACAGTATTTGTAAGAAAAAGAAGAAAGAAAAAGTGGAGCACTAGGACGCACCGACAACGGAATAATATCGCGTCGGAGCTGTTGCAAAGTGCCAATTGTGGGAATGCTGCACGCGGTTTACTACGTCTCATTGTTGCGCGCGATCGATCATGCACTGTAATATGTAGGGCGTCGTGCGAGCGATTACGGTATATACGCCTCAAGATCAATGTCACGGACACACGGAATTGACAGGTGACCTGGTCGACGTAGCACAACAGACATAACGACACTTACGACCGACGTGTTGGTCGCGGCACGACGTGCGAGTTCCTCTCTAGTCGTTCTGTGTATGTGGCTTTGTTGCGTCTGTCTCTCAAGCGCCGCCGTCGCTCACGCTGTACCTTGATCCCTGACTCATTTCGCTGCGAAATTTGTTTACTCGGCCAACGGGCCGCGATCGCGAGTTCAAATTATTTATACACTTCCAACCGAGCCCGTTTGCCCTCTGTCATTTTTCACTGTGTGATATCGACGAAACAGATGTCGACGCTTGCCTCGAGAACGCGCTGCAGACACCACGTAATGGCTCCTCTCCGTTTAGGAGCGAACTCCAATCGTTAGTCGGTAACTGACTCTCGTTCGACACGTCAGTTTATGGTAAAAGAATTTTTTTCAATTTTATTTAAATTTTTTTTTCAATTTTATTTCTCAACTGTCGCAGATTTGGGATCCATTTGAAAATATCTTTCGCGGTCCATTTCATTCAATTTAATAATTCTTGATTTTACTTAAAAATATCACACTCGCGACGACGATATAAATCTTATCGAAAAATATAATCTAGTCATTTAAATCAATTTAGGAAAAATAACACGTAACAAGCTAAAAATGTCTAAATCGTAGCATCTAAAGAAATAGTGAATATTCCAGTTTCATTCAGGTCACACGCAAGAAGTTATAGTCAGGATAGTACATAGATGCTCCGAATTAAAATTTATATTTTGAAATATATAGAGTGATTACGTAAGGACCATCTCCTCACTTCTCTAACAAGAATTATTGTAATCCTTTACAACTGATCTTTGTATTTCTTATTTTTCAAGTTGATCAAGATGAAGAGAGTATGAACGACAAGCGTCGTTTTCGCCAAAATTATATTTCATGTATATAGAGAGTGTTATATCAGAATACTTTACAATATGTGTATATATGTGTATATATATATATATATATATATATATATATATATATATATGTGTGTGTGTGTGTGTGTGAGTGTGTGTGTATGTGTATATACACATACACACACACACGTTTATATCTTTTACATGTTTATAGCAGTCCTTCGAAATGATATGCTTCGTAGTGCTTAAAAATATTTGTACATTATCCAACTAATGACTAAATTTATCTTTGAGAAGAGATTTTATCCGTTTCTTATAGGCACAGAACATGTGAGATTTCTCAACTAACTTCAATATAAATTTTCAAGTGAAAATATATCGGAAAAAATATCGGTAAACGCATATATTCTGTTTTAATACGCATCACGATAATGAATTAGAGAATTTAAAAATTTATATTTGCATTAAAGTTTTAATTAATGTAAATTTAAATTTAATTTACTGTTAATATAAATAAAACATCTATAGAAACATTACAACACTTATAGGAACACTAGTATCTGAAAGTCGATAGAAAGTCGATAGAAATTCGCTTGATACAAAGTTTTAATATCCAAGTATGTTCTATGAAGATTTTTTCATTGTTTGCGTATTTTATATTTGTAACAACATTCTCTTATTAAAATAGTACTAATAAACTTCTTAATAAATATAACTAATATATATATATATATATATATATATATATATAAAATTTGCATGAATAAAGTACATACTATGGAATTTTACTTCCTACATCTTTCACATTTCTACAAATGTTAAAAAATCTTAAGAGTGAGAGACGAATGAATTAATTTCATTGCACGTCAAATAGTGGGATAGACGTACAAAGTACTTTCAAATTCTAGGCTTATTTCTTTTCCGTCTCCTTATTATCCGTTTTGTCGTTCGACTGTTTCTCATCCTCCAGCTTCTGTTCATTGTTCAAGAAGTGCGTCAGATGGAGGATAGACACGACGCTAGATATGTACGCGCCCACGTCTTCTTTCTTTACTGTTTTCAGTTGCGCAGCAACCGAATGATATACGCGATTAGCGGTTTTCTTCGACAAATGACCGATTGTTTGCACTGCGTGAAGCACCTTGTTCTCATCTGCCGAGACTGGATCTGTAAAAATATCATTCGTCGTTAAAATTATATTCCAAACCCAGATAATATGAAATTACTTGTTTATCTCAGGTTTATTTCTATTTATGCTGGAAGCATTTTTTATCAGACTGAATGAATAATACATGTGGAGAATTTAAAATCTGAATAATAAATTTATAACGACAGAAATGCTCACCGATATAAACAGACATAATTATATTTTTCTCGCAAATAGCGCTTTATCGAACAATTTATTTTTAAACTCATGGATAGAATCTTCCCTGTCAATATATCGATGATATAAACAGTTTTTATTGCGCGATAAATTACACGACACATTGCGCGCGAAAGTAAATAGACAGCATTGTCTGTTTTCATTTTTCATATAACGTACTTAGTTCATCGCTTTCCTCTCCCTCTGCAGGAGGAAAATAACGATCCAATAAACGATTGACGAGCACGCTGGTATTGTCAACACCTTCCACAGCCTTGTTACCGCATGGTGTGTTCAAGAGCTCGTTCGCCTTAACTACAGCAACCTCCTTCAAGTTACCTATCTGTTGCGAAACTGATTGCCTCCCTGCGTTGAGTTTGTCGATGGTCGGCTGCAAAGAGCTGCTCATAACTGCTTTAGCGGCATCGTATATCTGCAAATAAATGCGGCATTTCTCGTGGTTAATTTCACAACTGATCTGACATACATGAATGAGACAGATTTGTGCAAATCGAGCGGTTGCGCATTAATGTTTACACACGTACCAATATGTATCAACAAACGATATTTATTTATGTTGAACGACATATCCGATTATCATTCGCTGTGTTGACATCGTATATCGCGATAATTACGCGTTATAATTGAACTTGTGACTATTCAAAATTAATATCATGTAAATTGCTTTCCACTTTTGGACGTAGCTCATTCCTCTAAGCTCATAGGTCGACAGTAAGAATTCGAGCGAATATTATAAGATCGATTGGTGATCACATAAGTTAAATATAATTGCTTCTGCTTTAATCATCCGAAATTCAGCTTCGTTAACAAGCACTCGAGGCATTTAAATAACGCGACGAGTGATGCAATGTAAGGATTTCTTTTATCACAACACATCTCACGCAACGTATCTTTGCGTAAATATGACTCATTGTTTTTTACACAAAATACCTCATTTATAATCATCGTTGAGATATTATTCCTTTAAATATTATATTCCTTTAGTTGAGATTATATTCCTTTAAAAATTTTTCATAATTTTCCGAGGAACAGGAAAACTCTTTTTGTGAACATATTGCGCGCTTGGTTTCAACAAAAGCGTCGTTCTTCCTTAGTCCTTTACCTGCTGCGGCGGCTGCTTGACGATCGGGACCTTTTGTTCGACGATGTCTAGCCCTTGGCATAGCTTCTGGTCAACGGCGCTAATCTGCCCCTCGAATTTCTTCGCGAAGGGGGCTGCGAGTGGCGTCGCAGTGGCAGTAGCATAATGCAACCCCGCTTCGGCGTAGCTTAGCGCCCAATTGGCCAAGTGATGGGAATCCTTAACATAGGAATACGTGGAACCCGTCTTCTCAATAGCCGAATGGACGACCGGGATATTCTTCACCCGATCGATCACCTCGAGGCGAGGTCCACTCTCGGAGTTTGTCACGGGCTTGTTTGCGTCCGACATTCTTTCTGTAAATAAAATAACGCCTTAGAAAACACGTACCAGCTGATGTATCGGTCATATATTTAAAGAATGGCGTATATCGAATTTTTAGATTTATCTTCAGAAAATATACTTCTTGTTGAATTGTACAAGTATTCATAGATCTACAAAAATAACTTCGCGTGACTACGTATTTCACTCAATATCTCCTTCAAATTTCATCATATTTGATCTACGCCATTTTTCTAGCATGAATCATCTATGAGTGTATACACCATAAAAAAGCAATATTCAGAATGAAAAACACTATGCGCAGCGGAAACATGCCATTAATGTGTGTCGTGTGAGCATAACTCAATTGATTTAGTAATGTTGAATCAAGTAAGTGCGATCTTTTAAGAAGGATTCACGACAATGATTGTGCTTGTCACCTTATGAATAACGTTTGTAATTTAAAGATTTGCATTTTAAAGAATACGTGCGCAAAACGATGAGCCAAACATTTTTCCCGGGGATCTTTGTACCTTCAGTAGCCGATGAACTGTCCTCTTGTTATCTAATATAGTCACAGTTTATCTTTATCTCTGACGGTGAGTCAAGCTAAACGCGTACTTTGATACTACTATCAATATATAATTTTGACATTTAAACATGCTCTATTTCTCCTCATAACGCATCCATACGTGCGATCGTCACTTAATCAGAAAACAATAAAAGAATATAATCGGTGCGTAAAATTTTCGGTGATAGCTATTACTATGAACATTTATACCGATAGTTTTACACATTTATCGATGTGCATGTGCGAAAAATTGTGCCGAGAGACAAGAAATCAAATGCAAAGAAAAAAATTCAGTGTCACGAATTCGATTATGCGAATCAATGTACTCAACTTGTCATAAGATAATGCGCGTAATACATGATTCATCCGCTAAAACAGAATAATAACGAATTATTATTCCGCATTATTTCACATTGCATGGTTAGATAATTTGCTTTTATAGCTATACGGGAAATTTCAAGAGTTTTTTACACTTCTTTTCATTTGCACACTTTAGAATAGTCAGGAATAATTTAAAATATTAACTTATAAAATCTCTTTAAATTTGCGTGGCATATAATTATATGTAATAATTTCAAATCCGATAACGTCAACGAGATTGCATTTTACACGGATGAGACAATTAACGTTTATACTACGCAATTTTTCCGCGATATATTGACTTGACCGGAGTGCTAATTTTACATTTGCTGACAATCTATATCGCCTATTCTTGCATTATTCAGGATTATTGATGTTTGTTATAAAATATTCATTCTAGCTATAGATCAAGTTACGACGTACAACTGATCATATTTAAAGAGAACCTTACTAATCAATGACACGTAAAATTATAAAAAAAATTATTGCACATGTATTATATCATACAATAATGCAGTTATTAGTATATTTATCACTTATCAGCTGTAACAAACATTTGTCGTTAATATGATCATAAATATTATCAGTTATCAATTAACTTCAAATTAACTTTTAATCGTGGAATGTTTGTTAGAGATGACAGCATTGTTAAAACTTCAAAATGCGGGAAGATAATGAGAGGTGACGCGACAAGTAATCTCTCTTAGCAATGTATATTACTTTTTTCAACTACTCTGCTGGCTGAAAAAAATTATTTATTAATACTTGTGTGTTTTACGATAAATACGACAATTTTAGCGTCGGAGTCGAGATTCTACACTTCCTTTTAGTTATTTTACGCCATACTTACATTCTTAAAAAACTCGCTGAAGAAAATTCCTTGATAGTGAAATGCCGGTTGTACAGCCGCTATGTTTCACACGAGATACCGGATAGAACTGACGTTATATCCGTTTGAGAATAAGTAGTGAACGTGGTGGTCAGGTGGGGCAAAACAGGAACGTCGAAATCGCAGGTTCGCTTCAGGAAACAGATGAATTTGGAAGTAAAAATTAATTCAGGCTTGAAATTATGACTTTAAAGAGCGTGAAACGAAATCTCATAGTAAATTGAAAAATGTCCAAAATTTCTTTCAAAATTTGGTCATGAAATAAAACTTTTTCGATTTCAAAGCAAATTATCTGATACATTTCTAATACAGTCTAACATAATTTCTCTCTTTAATGAACGTTAGCCTTATAAACGAATATTCCTTATATCGTATTATCCATTTGGTTGCATTATCAGTACATTTTGCTGTTTTATTTTAAAAATGCTCTATAATTTGCAACCATAAAATCGTTCTAATTATTTGTATGCCGCACGCGGCTGCATTTATCGTAAAATTTTTCTCTGCTGTATCTCGACCAGACGATGACTTGTTTGACACACTTTTGCAACTGGGTTCTTCGTGATATACGTACGTTCGTGATTTTGTCTGCGCTTCTGCGCAGTGGAAAGAAACGACCCGTTGGTTCCGCCAGCGTGACGTGGAGGTCACACACTCTTACTTGTTGCCTATAAATATACATTCAAAAGCCGGTGAATAGTCCACCGAGATGATCCTACGAGGAATGATGACTGGAAGTCACGATGACTTCCATTTAATTAATCTGATGCAACTTCTCTGTTTAGTGTCTCAGTTTTGAAATATCTTTCTATTGTCGTACATACGTCTCTTCGGTTATCGCTGTTGCTACATCGTTAATCGTCTTCATTAGTCGAAGTAGACGCGAATACTTTATTATGCACGATAATGTCCGAAACGTCAAGCTTTCAGTATAATATGTTGCTAATGAGAGACACAGTAACAGAGTAATCACGCATCCCGTAATTAGCGTAGACGCGTTTAGATAACTTCTACTTTTACGTTTCTGCCCTAACAGGATCCCAGTTGCAGAGATAAGACTGCATGTTATGACTTCGGTAAATAAAAAGGTTAAAGAAGTAAAAGAAAGCAATAGTGAATTATTCGACAGCGAATGTCGGAATATTACCGTTTCCATATTTAACTTACTTCAGCTTTGTTTGCGACGAATACACAATATATTACAATATATGTATATAATGCAATCTAAATCGTAATAATAAAGGAAGAAAGTAAAAGCATCATTGCAATTTTATATTTATTAGATTAATATGTTTATAAAGTACATATAAAATGTATAAGCATAATTTTTTACCGTACATAATAAATTTATTATATTCGTATAACACATTTATATTCGGACAAAATGTAAAAAGTATATTACAAGTGTGTAAATATACACTTGTAGTTAAGAAAACGTTCTCTCACACTGTGTGCTATTATTGCATTCGACTATAGTGGATATATATATGCGGGAAATTAGATTTGGCAATAATTAGAGCACTTATACAGTGATACAGACGTATTTCCAATCGGTAAACTCTACATGGAGGTCCGAGTATTTATTTACAATCCTTATGTTCTACTACTCTATCGTGTATATTAATACTAATTAATCGTGTATACTAATTAACGGAAGAAAAAAAACATACATTGCTCTCGAAAATTTACATTGAAAATTACAAATGTAATGCCTAGATCTCGTTTCTATATCTCGGCTGTTTCTATATCTATCTTTAAAGAAAGAAAGAATGAAGAGAAAAAAGAACTTCTTTTATTGATTGTTTTATTTCATTGCAACAATATGTCGTAATCTGGGTTAATATCCCTTAATATATTCTAAATACGTTAATGCGTAACCAGTACTAAAACGTAAAGCACATAAGACTTATCTAAAATTTCACATCTTATATGTTCATATGTTTTACTATTGTTTTTTGGCTAAATTTGCATGTAGTAATAAATACCAACACAGACAATAACATAAACTGAAGCCACCGCTAGCGTACAAGACACCTCAGGATGAAATCTTATTATAGCACAATATTTGAAAAAATTGGCATTTTTAAAGAGTAGATCGAATTCCGTAGAATACTGCATATATATATTGTGTATTTAACAAATTATATATACTTAACGTATTATAATTTGTATATTTTTCATTTCTGTGAACCTTGTAACTAGAGGAGCAACTCCCTTTGCACACGACGCCCATGTGCGGTATTCAATTTGTACATCGGCTTGCGATAGCCTTGATTCCAATAATGTCAATGTTGCATTGCTATTAATAACGTGAAATTTTAAATGTTGCGCGTGTTTTTCACAGCTCAATTTCCTTCGCAGCCGCGAAGAATCTGTAAGTACCGCGCGAAATCGCGTTAATTTAACTCCTAACAATATAATATCATGAAACGATTAACGTATGAACATTAAAAATAAATAAAAACTATACATCGGGAAAATTTAGACGAGTAAATTCGCATGCGGTAGGCCTTTTCAGTTTGTCTTTTTCTCTTCGTTTCTCAGATCATTCTCTTCTTCGGACTTACATTTTTCTTTATGTTTCTCATTAGCTTCGTGAAGACTTCGCGTGATACAAAGAAACTCGACTAACTGGCTGATGTAAGGCACCAAGTACTCCTTTTTAACGACGCCGAAGTGATGTGTCACGTACGAGTATATACGTTTGGTAGCTTTAGTGGTCAGGCAACCAATCGTTTGCAAAACTTGCAACAGTTTATCCTCTTCTGCTGTTTTTATGTCTGCAACAGTCATATTTGCAATTAAGAACGGATATATTTAGATATAATCACAGAAATCTACACTTAAAATAGATCAACAAAACACATACACACATATATATATATATATATATCAAATTCAATATAACTCTCTGACTTCAAATTTATGTCGACTAATAATAGGGAGATTACAGATATGAAATATAAATAACATACAGCAATTAGACAGCTAGATTCATCTCCGAATCTGAATTGAAGCTAAAAATTATCCTGTATACTTGAAAAGTTAAATTTCAAATGGATTATAGAAATAGGATGGAAGGTAATATCGGCTTCAAGAAGTCAGTTCGCGAAATAATTACCAACTCTCATATCATATTACCTACTTTCACTAACTTTCTCGCTGATGCGCATCGTTGTCGACTTTCATTACATTGTGATTTAACTTTGTGTCGACGTAGCGAAGCATGAAGGAGTCAAAAATTGAATTTACTTACCCGTTTGCGATACGTTACTCTTGCAATAGTCTACATAAATTTAAACATTTTAAGAAATGAAAAAAGAGATATATATGTTATACCTAAAAAATATGCATATACTTTACCTAACATTTCTTCTCCATCGATAGGAGGGAAATACTCGTCAAGCAGATTATCAATGAGAACACCCGTGTTGACTATGCCGTTCACCGCCGTGTTGCCATAATACGTATTTAGTATTTGATTAGTTTTCTTCCAGGTGACGTCCCGTACAATCTCCGCTTGTTCCACAATTAGGTGGTTTATATGTAAGACGCCCATTACCGCCGGTGTAATAGTTTGAAGAACGAGCACGTATGTGTCCTGAACAATCTGAAAAATACAGTATTATTATCTATCTCGCCTTGATTTTAATCTTTATAAATATTTAAAAAATTCGCTTGGTACGGATTGAGAACACGTATTCAACAAGATCAATATTTATTACGATTATGGCGTAAAGATCCACTTCGCACCTGCTCAGGCTTTTCCTTTACTAGCGGCACTTTCTCCTCAATTTTGTCAAGACCACGACACAGTTTATCATCGACATAATGTATCTGGTTTTCAAGTCTTGTCGCGATCGGCTTGGCAATGGGCATCGCTAGCTTCGTTGCGGTATTCAAAGATATCTCAACGGTGGTAAACGCCCCGTACATCAGGCGATGGAAGTTTTTTACCCTGGAATAAGTCTCCGCGGATTTGGTGAGTGCCAGTTCGATCACAGGTAATCCCATCACGCGATCCAGAGACACCAAATGAGGCATTTGCGTTGCTGCTGCCGCCATACTCTATCGCAAAGTTAATCACGGTGCACTGAGAATCTGTATCTGCAAGATTTAAATGATTTTACAATAGTGATTGAGACGAGTTTAAAGCTGAAAGAGATAATTTGTGTTTATTGAACAGATTGACGCGCTTTCTTGGCATAAATTTCTTCTTTAAATTTTCCCAAATCTCGTACAGACGGAAGAGCGTGAGACTGAAGTGCATTATCAAGGTTGAATCTTAGTTTGCGATACAATTTCTTCCGAGTAGAAAGTAGGGAGATCTCGAAACATGTGCATATATGTACAACTATGTGCATGAAAGCTTCGGTGAACGAACTCGAGTCACGCGCATGCAAAACTTTCTCAAACCTCTCTTCAAAAGCGTTCGTTTCTTCTTTCGTATTTCACTGTATAATCATTTTGTGTATATGTCGAATACAAAAAAAATGATGTATACTAAATAATTATTAGGGTTGCGTTCCAAAACGTCATTTTTAAGGAAAGTTTACTCGATACTCTATAGTATATGTAACGTGAACTATAGGTATTGAGTAAAATTTTCCTCAAAAAGAACGTTTTGGAATGCAATCTAGGTTAAATTTTATTGAAAACGCAATATTTTATATATATATATATATATATATATATATGGTATAAATATAAACAATCGGCTCGTTTCGAATGTTTATAGAACGCCGACTAAGCCAAATTCAGAAAAATAACTTTTTGTGATAGTTCAAATGAAGAGATATATTGTAAACATCAAAATATTTTGAAATAGCGATAGTCTACAACAAGTCAAGAGAGACATCGATACAACCCAAACACACAGTTTCTCCGTATAAACCGGAGAATGATTTCCACGTGTAACTTTCGACGAAAATATTCGCAAGCCTTCACATTTAACATAAGGTAACATAGTTACCAATGTACATTCGAAATTCGGAGACAAATCGAAACTACTAGACCGGCGAGAAGCAAAATGATGAAATAATTTTTCATATTTCTTCTATTCTAATGATCACTATCTTCACATATCTAACATCATATTATATAGTGTATCTTATTTCGATGGAACATCCATATAGTCACTCTTGAACACAGAATTCGCGCGAGACGCGTGACGTGAAATTTACACGAGATTTACAAGGTAAAATCTTCGAAACCTTTCGCCGAAGAAAACAGACGCGCCGGAGAGATGCGTTGAAAAGTGTCGCGTTGAAAGATTCTATTTAGCGTGACTCGCGTGTCGATCGATCGAATTTAAAGATCACAGTCGCTGAAAGCGATACTCACAAGCTCGACGACAGTTGCTGCGTCGTTGATTAGCCGTTGCTGACGACGGTTCTTCGGTCTGTCTGGTACGTTCGCACGAATGCTGCCTCCAGTCACGCTCGGTGAACACTTATAACGCGACGAATCGCCTGCGCAGTGAACGTGATTCAAACGAACCAATGACGACTGAGCAAAGTGCGATGCCCATGACTGTAGTTTCCAAACTGTCTACATGGTCAGATTCACGTACGTTCCAGCTGTATGCATGGTTGTTTTCATGGTCGTACCCTTGGACAGGATTAGACCGTGAAAACTAACCTGCCTGAAAAAAGTCTTCCTTATGATATACGAATATTTACTTTCCTACTACTATTCTCGATATTAATACAACGTTACGATACAGTACCGTTCGTTGTAATGAATCAGCAGGCCAACCTACAGTTACATTTCGTGCGATTAAATTGTCCGATTATATGGTGGAATAACTAGTCACCTTTTTTAAAGGAGCAGAACGCATAACGCACGCGAAGGTCATTTTTATGGGATAATGCACGAACCGTTGAAAATGATATGTATCGAAAGTTATATTTTGCGATTTATTGTAATGTACAGCGCTTTTGTTATTAGACTAAAGTAGCTCCCCAATACTTAGTTTCTGCAAATAACTGGGGAAAATATATTCTAGTTGCAATCTACACGTAGATATTCAAATCGCAAGTGACTAAGTGATACGAGAGATTCGCGTCCATACATAAGTTTACAAAACTAAAAATAATTTTAATAAATAGGGCTGCGCGCGTTTTTATATTTCCCACTCTCTGCTTACTACACGTCGAATCTGTCGTTATACTTTTCTCTCTTTACTGTGAAATAAAGAGGGGACAGTTTTCCGTTTCCCCTCTCTACGGCCGTCTATGTGCTCCTATCGTTCAAAGTCCGTTTCGTCATATCGTGTCTGTTATCGCCGTTAGTTGCGTATAAGCATACATTGAGTTTCAAAACGGCCTGAAAAATTCTTTTTTCAGTTTTTGTAGTTAGGAGTGCAGCCAATAATCCAATAAGAGAACTTGACTTCTTGGAGACTTATTAAAAAACAAGTACTCCTATTAGACTATTACATCTCATTAAGGTTGCTTTTCAAACTGCATCGAAAATAAAATGTTCAAACATTTTTTAAATCCACTGTATAAGAAAGTGATTAACGAAAAATTATCAGGAATTTATTAGTTAAGGAAGTTTGTTTCTCTCTCTCTTCTGACGCGATAATTTTCCTTTAAACGATTGCATATCTTTAATCTTGATGATTTATCTCTAAGAAATCAGTGTTTCTAGAATCAATACGATTTCACCTGCATTGTGCAACGTAAATCTACAAGTTTTATTAATACTAATAAATATAATTATTAAGATATCAAGATAGAGCATAGCTTGAGATTATAAAATCTATTAATAAGTTACTTTGATTATTATATTTTGAAATACACTCGATACACATATTTCATAATCTGAAATATGTGGTAAACGAATAATTTGAAAAATAAAAATGCATTAGATATGCACATCCGTTTTCACAATGATTGCACAATAAAAAGAAATTCGGATCTATCATCACTTTTGCGCTTCTGTTCAACGATTAAGTTCCAGAGTCCATGACACGGTTGTCTAACTGGCACGATTCACAGATATCGCCTTTATCTCGTAATCGCGTAAAGTTCCTCTTGAACATCAGGTTTTGTAGTCTGACCAGTGAACTTCGTTCTACTCAGGTTAGAGTTCACTGCGTCTACTTCAAACATTTGAGTCAGTCTTGGAAATCTCGCAATTCTCAGAACTGTAGAAAAAAGCTAGTAAGATTATCGAAGACGTCGATAAAACGTAAAGATTATCGAAGACGTCGTACACAAAAGTCGACGGCGCTTAATCATTTTTTTGCGATACAATCTAGAGAAATTATCGATACATTTCGATATGTTTATTGCGATTTAATTATACGTACGTACATCAATCGTACAATTACATAACTTCATCATTTCAGTATTGTTGCGCGGAAAAGTTTGATTGAATAAACTAATTTCAAGTAAAGTATGAACGATTCAGAAATTCCGGTTGAAATTACCAGAATTCTGTTTGAGTTAACTAGTAACTTTAATAATTTAGGCCGAATTCTGATAACTTCAACCGATAATTCTGAAAGAGAATCGTTCATATTTTACAATTTTTACAGTTTTTAAATTGAGATGTCAAGTTTACGTTTTAAAACAATTAGTACTTAGCATTTAATAAGTACCGTGCACACATTTAATAAGTACCGTATCACGACTCGCTCGAGGAGCAGGAAGTTCAGGGAGTAAACATTCTACAATTACTTGAGATTTCTCCGCTTTCACTATCGGAAGAAATCTGTAGAGAACATGGCATGAACGGGACGTGTCGCTTGGAGTTAAAGTCCACCGTGTATAGCAAGCGAAAGGTAATCTTACTTCTTTTAATTGATACATAGCGCTCCAAAATGTATATCGCTACAAGAGCCTGTAGAAATCGCAATTATACAAACTACAAAAATCCTTTACTGATATTGTCACTTGTCCGCTTTCGTCACAAACACTTGTAAGGATAAGCAGAAGGAAGTAAATGAGTATCGGCCCGCACGACTCATACGATTAATCAAGACGACCCTTTATTTTTTTTCCTTTCTCACTTACACTCTTAACTACCGTAGAAGCAATAAGTTGACCAATGGCTAAACTGAGAAGAATGAGCGCGGCACGGGTACATTGTGCCGGTGATAAAATATATTCTGTCTTTGTATTATCGTGTATCAACGAGTATACAAAATCGTAAACTTCGTATAAAGGTAATGGTGCAATCGCGCGGGCGTTGCGTTAATTGATAAGCGATGGTGGTGGTGACGGTAGCGACGGCGACAGCTCGACGCGACTTCTTCCCTGCTCCCGAGAGTGTCTTTGACCTTGTAACCGAAAACCATACCGGAAGAAACCCGCGCGTAGCAGTTTTCAAGCGGGACTCGCGCCGGTTACTCGATACCGTTTATCGGAGGATTAGACGACACCGACATGTGGTTGTTGTGGTTCTGCTGGCGGTTCTGCACGCGTGGTACCTTCTGAGATCTCGGACGACCAGCCAAGAATTCAGCGAGTCGTTCCTACGGAAAGTAGTCGAATATCTTATTATCGCGCATACGTTAAAGGGATATAAATTTCCGAGAGAGTATTTGGATGATTTGGGAAAATTATTCAATACGATTTATCAACACAAAATAATTCACGTCAACATTAGGATAGTCGGTTCCGCGGAGGTATGATATGGGAGCGTACCAATAATAGATTTGTAGTTGAATTCAGCCTCTCGATCGCGGAGCGTATGACAGATACTTGTTCCTTTGCGGCGATCTTGCTCTTACCTGTAAGTGATGTCATCTGGAAAGCAATATACACAATATAAATTATTCCGCGGTCTTCAAACGCGTCGAAAGGTATTTTTTCTTTCTTTTTTAACAAGACCTATGATTTCTATGACTTCAATGACAAATTGAAGAAGATTAGATAACGTGAGATATTTTCAACAGCAAGACATGCGCGGATCTTTTGTTATCTTGCGAATATTTGCTTATTGACATTATATTTCTCGCTGGAATAGTCTAGCAGGGCTAGAAGAATAGAGAGAAAGCGCGCGGCTTTCGCTGCAGATTATTGAGAGGCTATTGCTCCCTCTTAAGATCGATCGAGTCGCACACAAGCGAATGAAATTGACGTAACCTTCAATGTGGCATCCGCAACGGCGAGCAGTTGATCAGAGAGTCTGGCGAACAGGTGACCTAAGCGTCGCGGGGTCTTAGCCGCCAATGTCGACGCGCCGTTCACCAGATGTACCAGGCGCCGTGCCGATTCACGTGTCAACAGTACCAGCAATTGCTCCAATGTAGCTGGGCGTGCCTGATTTTCAGGTTCGGATAAGCTCAACGTAGCCCATAGCTCCTTGGCCTTCTGCAGCGCTAATTTCGGATCTGTAGCTAACTGCGTAACAACAATAAGTAGAATGCAACAGATGAACATGAATCGCGCATACGTTACAGTGAAAGTGGTCGGTGATTGAGTAAAGTCGTTATTTTATTTATTCAGAAAGAGGAACTTTATACCGGAATACAAATAAATTTCCAACTACTTTTCTTTAGTACGGTTTTGCAAAAAGTCACGTGTGATTTTACTCAATCAGCCGATCACTTTCACTGTAACGCGTAAAATTTCTGTGAAATAAACTTTATATTCCATAAACTCAGTATGCATTAAGAAAAAAATACTTGAAAATTTATTTGTGGGATATAAACAAATTTATAGGATATAAGTAAATTTAAAATATCATAAATAAATTTTTAAACATTTTTTCAGTGTTTATTTGATGATTCTACGAAAAATCTTGCCAAAAGTTAAATCGGTAAGTTATTCACAGAAATAAACTTTATTTCATAAAAATAAATTTTAAATGTCACAAATAAATTTTTAAACATTTTTTCAGTGTTTATTTGATGATTCTACGAAAAATCTTGCCAAAAGTTAAATCGGTAAGTTATTCACAGAAATAAACTTTATTTCATAAAAATAAATTTTAAATGTCACAAATAAATTTTTAAACATTTTTTCAGTGTTTATTTGATGATTCTACGAAAAATCTTGCCAAAAGTTAAATCGGTAAGTTATTCACAGAAATAAACTTTATTTCATAAAAATAAATTTTAAATGTCACAAATAAATTTTTAAACATTTTTTTCAGTATTTATTTTATGATTATACGAAAAAAAATTTCTTAAAGTAAAATCAGTAAGTCCATTAAATTGCTTGATTTTACAAGATTAAAATAAATTAATTCTTTTATCAAGATACATATTGTATTGTAATAAGCAAAAACATTAAAATAGATATAAAAATAAGAAATTCTTCGAGCGAGCTTTGTACAATATCTATTTTGAATGAATAGTAGAGCTAGATTAGCTCTTGATTTAATATCAGCGCACGAATTCTAATATTTCGTGTAGAATTATGTGTCATTAAAATGATTATCTCTTGTCATTATAAAAAGATATTTTCTACATCGCATATTCACACACAGAAAAATACATATATTGCGTTCAAATCAATGTTACTTTGTTTAAAGTATTTCTTAAGTTTATATATACGCAAATCATAAGCTTATCATAAGCATCAAAGTTCGAAATATGTTTTTAATCCTAGTAAGCTTAGCATTTCAATTAAGAATATTAAATTAAAACAAAAATTCGGTTTACTTATTTACGTAGAGTCGAGCCAATTATTTTTTTAATAAAATTTTATGATTTTCTTATAAAGAAAATAAATTCTTCCTTTGAATACATTATAATGAGCTTTTCTAAAATATTTGTTATGGATATACTTATTATTATCAGTATTATTATTATCAGTAGTTAGTACTACTTATTATTATCAAGAAAATATTCTAATAGTTGAAAATAAACATTAGAAAGAAAAGCAAGTAATCATTTTTCTTAACAGCAGAATGATATTTTTTCTGTGTAAATACATTTGCTTTCTCAGTATGAACTTAACATCAAGTATCACGCTCTTTATGAATGTTTAGTATTATTTTATCGAGCATAATCTATCATTATTTTATCGAGCATAGATAGGATTAATATAAGTTATTAATATAGCCAGTGCTTTGCGCAACAATATTTTCGATGGCGATTATCTTCCGCAAACTATGTTTTCTCATCTAATTGCATACTTGCACAATTGCAAATGCGTTGATCGCAAATGTAGTACATGTACATGTCGATAATGTTTTTTGCTGATTACTTCAACGCATTTGCAATTGTGCAAGTATGCAATTAGATGAGAAAACATAGTTTGCGGAAGATAATCGCTATCGAAAATAACGTAATAATGACATAATAATGCATGTAAAGCATTAAGTTACAAATTAAAAAATTGACTTTGCTACAATAATATTACATAATAACGACAACGTGCAGACTTTCCATTATTCGCGTGCTTCCGCAAATTTGAAAAAGTTATAAAAAAAATATATACGTAAAGAGAAAAAATGTTAATCATCCAATAAGTATCTTACCAGCTCTATCACGTACAGAAGAACGTGGATGCACTCTGTTCCTTGCTCCTTGAGTGCGCGCGCCTCGGCCAAAGTGCGTCTTGTCAATCTCTTTTGCAATTTTCGTGAAAATCTTGCACCATGCTTGATCGTTCGTGTCGTTTTGCTCGCGGGTTCAGCTGGATTAATCTCTGAAAGGCGCAACGATCATCACTCGAGACATATCGTGACACAAAAACTCGTTAATGAAATCAGCAACTAAACTATAGTTATGATTTATTGCTCGTTAACGTCGCTATCGCGTTGCGCATCACCTGCCTCGAATCTCTTACGCAACGCAGCAGGAGAATTGACAACGTTTGATGGTCAATGATGGTCAATGGTTTGATAATGACAATCATCTTAAACCAGTTCATTAATGTAAAAATTAAATAAAAGTCCGCAATTTTGAAGAAGACTGATCGTTTTACGCGAAATCCGATCTAATTTCATATACAGTTTTGGATTTAGGAAACTGACTGAGCGCGTTATCCATATACCGTCCACTTACCGTTGCCGTCCACCTTGTCAGTTGGATCCTCCGGCAAGTAGCGGTCTACATACTTGTCCGCAACTGTCAATGCACCGTCCAATCTGTCAGCCGCGGCGTCGGCGGCTTGACTGCCGATTTGCTTGACGCTTCCGGCACGCATCAGCACCGGCCTTACAATCTTGTTACTCACATACTCTCGCGTGTTCAGATACATCTGAAACATAAAATTACGTTGTATTAATTTGCGCGTGATAATACATTTGTGAGATTAATTGTTTTTTTCTCATCTAATAACACCTCTCAGCCTTTCGTGTTAATCACACTTATCAGCCGATTTTTTTTTATCAGCCTTCCACTAGGCATGCGCTGCATTATGCAATTAAGTAACGATCTTTATAATTTTCTTTACTGTTCTTTAGAGCGCTTTCTGTTCGAAATGAAATTTTTGCATGCCGTGAATATTCTGAGCATTCTGAGCTCGATATTTTAAATTCAGCTGCTGATCGTATACACAAGAACAACAGGAGAATTATTTGGCGGTGAAAAAAACTCGTTAACTTACGACGTATGGAGGAAGATGCACTGCTGGCACTCTCTCTTCGACAATGTCGATGCCCTTGCACAGCAACTGATCGATCGTCGTAATTGGCCCGTTGAATGCGAAAAAAGCTGGCTTTGCCGTCGCCGTTGCAATCGCTAATGAATGCTCTGCCGTATCCAAGCTCCAGTTCATCAAAGAATTAGAACGCTATACACAACGAGACGATTGTAATTAAATTGCGCAGAGAAGACACGTTATATTTTATACATATATTATCTACACAGAGAATCATATTTTTCGTCGCTACTGATTGTACTATAAAAGAATTCTGCAACCGTTGTGTATAACTCGGATTATTAGAGATGTGAGAAATTCTCAAGTTATCTCTAGCGATCAGATAAAAATGCCAACTCGCATTTCTGTTACGTGCGCAGCATACCTTTATTTTCTCATACACATTACCAGCAATGTGTATGCCGCTCTCGACGATGGGGAAGCTCGAGATCCTGGCGACAGACTCGAAATGCGGCAAATCCGAGTGCCGCCTTCTCACGTTTGATCGCGCCATTTCAGGAATAGTCGCTGTAATTGACGATTAATTATTGTGCAGCTCGCTTGCATATAACGTTGCATACTGTTTACCGAGCGTCGATAAGGCTGTTATCGCTAAATTTAGCTTCATCTCGCGTCCCGATATAACGTGTATTACGTACGTATGTGCGTTGGAATCGAAAGAATATATCTGAGCGAATCAAGAATTATTCCTTGCAATAAAGCACAGTTGAATGTACGATTACACTCAGTGTCACCGTTTTATGCGTTTCCCCGGCCGTTCTATCACGCGTTTCAGAATCGTTCGCAATTATACGATACAGCCGCTCGATACATACGTTTCTATCTTCGTACTATCTTTATTACCCGAATAATTATTATTACCCGATTAATAATTTGCGCGTTTATTTCGACGCGTCTCGAGGCGATCGGTTATTTCACGCAATTGTGAGCTCCGTCTCTCGTTCTCTCCCGTTCGACTCGGTGCGCTAAATACAACGCTCGTATCTACGGACGAGTGCCATCGCGACCTGTAAAGTGAAGACTAGATTATCGCGGTGACACCAGCCCGTTGAGAAAAACGCACCGGCAAACGTAAACGCAGCCATATGTCAGTGAAAAGGAATGACACAAACGGCATCGGCGAACGGCGATAAGGGAGGTCATGCTGCGAGGATGACGATGACTTTGCTTCGTGGTTAATATCGAGTCTGTACCCCGGACTTCTATCTCGAACTTCAGTGCGACCACTTCGTCGTATACCAGATCGAACGCTCTGATCAATCCGTCGTTATCGCGATAGGACGAAGGTGGAAATTAATCGCGACGGCGATTCCGGCACGAAACAATTACTTCCGTCGTGACTTTCACCCGCGAATGGCGACCACGGCGACGACGAAACCGTCTCGCCGGTGAAATCCGTGTGCTCGCGAATAAATGACTTTCGCAGATTTGCATCGACGCGAAAAATTCGGGCTACTCCCATTCTTTATCTCTCGCTTTCGCCGTCTCTCTATCTCTCGTTCGTCAATCGTTTGCTAAACGATCATTAATTGTCCCTCCCTCTTTTCTATTCCGTTCTCGATTCGACTCCGCAATCAGCTGTGCAATCGCTTTCGTTCGGCAACGTCTATATACGTATACGCATATTCAGACATAAATAGGAGCACACATGTACATACACACACACACGCGCGCGCGCGCGTCCGTCGAATACCGCTGTCAGAAGGCCTTACCTGAGGACAGCTGAAGCGGCTGTCGGGAACTGATCTGACGATTTTACGTGGGATTCGACGAACCCGTTCGCGGATCCGGCAAGACGACAGAAAACTGGGTGTTTCGTTCGTAGAACGCACCGTTGACTGCATGCCGGGGACGGCAAACTGGTATCTCATCGGCTTGACCTATGACATATTCGATTATATATGGACGCGGCGGATGTAATGACGCATAAATAAAACTTGCTCTAGCCTCTCCGTCATCCGCGCACGCTCGCGCACTTTGAGATGCATTTGGATATCGTACTGATCCGTTGGCGAAAATAGGAACGTGCACGTGAACAAGCCGGGGTAGAATCGGCACAGCTAACCGTTACGGCGACAAATCGCATGGGCCTCGACCATTACCGTCATCGCGGAGATTATATCGAGGTACAAATTAAGTAATAAGCAACATTCTTTTTTCCAAAAATAATGTTACACGCATAAGTTATACTTAAAAATGAAACGTATTAGCTTGTTCAAAGGCCGCCTATTTCACCAAATTCGTTTCAATAGAAAGAAGAAAAAGGAATACGAGCCTAATAATGACAATATGTTACAAGAGAGAGAGAAAGAGAGAGCACTTATCACGTTTTTATCACTCGTTGTACTTTTATTGGCCCTCAAGTCCTTCCAAGCTGTCTTGCAATTATTATTGTCCACTTTATCAATCATATGTTGCGGCATACACCGGACCGACAATGATATTTCAGATGTGCGCGTAAAACAACGGCACCTATCATCAATTTGGTTTTTTTCAAGCGAAACTCCATCACGTGATTTGAGGAACGCGCTCGCGCAAATGCGTAAATACAGTTTAACGTTTTATATGTGGACACTTTCGTGCCATTCCAGGATTGTGTTGGTAAGCATCCTGAATTGAACGAACATTCATCATCCATCGCGCGAGTTCCATACATCGGATGAATGTGCGAGATAATTGGCAGATTGATACTCCTAGGGACGAGAGCGCTCGTGGAACGTGTCGGGGAAAGGGAAACCATGGAAAATTCGAAATTATCACTGGCAGACGCTCTTAATTGCCATGACAAAGTCCACTTTGCTACTCGCGTATAGAAGTGTTCGTGGTTTAATACGTCTCAATTTTTACGCCTCAATTTTCTCTCTCGACTATCAACTACCGACGTTCTTATTCACTTTGCGTTCATAAATTTTGATTATTTGATAACTGTATAAATCAAAAGAGACGAGATGACGAATGACGATAAATCACGCATTTTTATTTGATCCAAAAGAGTGACGCGCTAGATTTTCTTTGGAGTTCTTAGAAAGCGTAATTTTTACGTAATTTTCGCGAATCCAGAGAAAAAAATAAAAGATTTATTTTAATCGTAAATCAACTCGAACGTTTTTTGGTTGAATCTATGTGGTAGATACGGAGAATATGCCAGGCACCATTATACAAGTCGAAATTCCAGCTGTCGCGCGTATTATTGTTCACTCCTCGGGTCTCGAGAAAGCCGACAGCTGAAATCTCACAAAATAGAAAACCACTTGAATACTGGACGCTACTGCACTCGTCGCCGTACGCTCGATTCGACAATACCTTCCCCAATACTTCTGTCCGTCGTCTATCGCTTCCGCGATGAAAAGCTGTCAGTGTGAGTTCCGTGAAAATACGAAGGAAAGCATGCACCCTCCATCCATAAGACGTACATCATGTGACGTTAGGTGCGATGTCATTTCGTCTAGCGTGACATTAAACGTAGCGATATTTGCCGGCCAACGAAGCGCGAGGATCAAAGTTATATCGTTTATTTTTAAAGACTCTCTTGTGAGAGTTCCATCAATCTTTCCGAGATTTCGGCTTCGTATCTTTCTTCGTCCTTTATTGCGCATAATTATATATCATTTTATCATTAGCTGACTCAATTTAACATCGCGCATCTAGCTTGATTCTAATACTACTATCGATTGCGTAACATATCAAAGTCTTTATAGCAAGATGTTTTGCAACAGATAAGGTCCAATTGAATAATCAGCATATAATTACAAATATCTCTCTGTGTTTTCGAAAATACATACTTGAGGCATATTTTCTTGCATTGTTTGCTGATCGAGTAATTGATGGTAACTTGTCATTTGACAAGTTCTTATTTTTGCAAATTTTTTTAGTGCTTTAGACAAAACTATGTTTTGCGCGCTAAGTGCGTCTCACGCAAAAACTATGCAGATGCAAAGTGAGAAAGATGAATAGTTAAGAAACTCGCACTATCGAGAACACTATAAAAGTCAAATGAATAAAATGGCCGTTCTGTTGCTCCTTGAGGATAAAGTGCGTCACTAGATTCAACTAACACTCTAACACGACGAGCGTTACTCGGAAAATTTCCGGTATTCATCTTCAGAAACTATTAAGGTAGTTTTTCAATCAGTCGTGATTGCGTACAATCTACGCGTCGTTTCAAACATTTTGTTGTGATAATAATAAGCAATTCAATTACGATGATTAATTTATATCTCTGTTCGATTCTCAAGTGCATCTTGACGATGCGCCTGTCGTTTCAAATGCCTTCACGTTTCTTAGCAAACTCTCATCTAAATATTAGTTCGAGGATTAATTAAACAACGGTTAAAAAAATATCAACGAATAATCCTCAATCTCAAAAAATAGTCTAAGCAATTGCGACGCTCAATTTCACATGCTTGCTCCGTTTGATGCATTCCATTCAAAGATCGCTAAAGTATATAAGTGAGGTTGATAGTTTGACACACGTGTGTGGCATCCAAGCGCAAGATGACAGCGAACGTATCTATTTAATATGCTAAACACGATTCCATTCCTCCAAATATCTTCTTTCATAGGCGTACGCAGATGTGCCTTCAACACGGATCAATGGTTCGTACTTAAAGTGAAACGTCAAATGTGAAATTTTTACGAGAAAGATAAAAAGTGATCGCAATCACTTTTAAATTTAATATTTGAAAATTTATATTTATAAATCGATACTTTGAAAAAATTGTCGCTGATAGTAATTAAAAGTTCAACGCGTTCTATACGAATGCAAACGTAGATATTCGTGCGAACTGGATAAGGGATGAGACCTCTCCGTGCGATACGGTCGCCTTTGTCCGCCCACAACACTGCATCATGTGTGTATACACATGCGGTTATCGATCCACACTAGTAGGGTCAATAAGAAGTCATCAGTTTCATTAGCACGTTATGCAGAACATAGCTCGTATAACGTGTCTAATATTAGCAGCAATCAACGCCAATAAAGAAGAAAATAACCCCACCACGAGTACACGCGACCCTTTATCTTACACGTGACGATTTTCTTCGTGAACATATAAAGGTACCTTAATCTTGAATGGGAGCGACATATCGCGCGCGAACGTTATTCGGCGTACTAAATCCGAATGTACTCGCGCGGTTTTGCGCGACGCTTTAATTTGCTAAAGCTATCGTAAAACTATAATGTCCAGCCGTCTATAAAGGCCAGCGAAACGACGTTAATTTTTTCTAACGTTTTTTTACGACGATGCTATTGTTCGTTTTCACTTAAAAGCGCGCGCTATATCACGTTTCTTTGGATAAACAGCAACCACTGATTAGCTTGTGCGTCGTAGTCGCAGAATTCGAAGAAAAAACGTACCTGAAAACAGAGTACATCGATTCCACCAAGTCTGACAAAAAATATTCCTGTTTTTTTCCACTGTTTACACGTATGTACGTGGACACACTGAGAAAAAATGTTTGGTACTTGTAGCTATAATCACATAAAAAAATAATTATTATAAAGTATAGTGAAGAAAACTATTTTTTATTAAATTTTATAATATTAGTAATATATAATAATCTTATATATATGTTACTACTATCATTTACGTGTTGTAAAAATATGTTTAGGCCCAAAAATAACTATAATTTTAGTTGGATCAACCATGTTTTCTTCTTAGTACGATGTGTGAGACTGAGACGCAGAAGATCCTGCAAGACGAGCAGTGCTTCGAGATCATACGCAAGAAACTGCAACAAGACGCGATGGACGCTTTCTCGTTGGTCGATTACGAAATCGTGCCGAGAAGTGAGGTGAACGGTTTCTTGGGTCAGTATTTTACGCTGAAAGTCACTGTAGCTTGTCCAAAGTCACCGTTGGAGACAAAGAACATCAACTTCTTTACGAAAATACCGCCGTCGATCAATACTCCGTTGTATAACTTTCTTCAAACATACGGCACGTTCAAAAAGGAGGTGGCCCTCTACACCACTGTATTTCCGAAAATGTTAGATGGCCTCGACAAGCGATGCATCCCGGAATGCTTCCTCGGGATCGAGAACGACGTGATTGTCCTCGAGGATATGGCTTATAGCGGCTACACAATGACCGACAAGTCCACTCCCTTTGACTTTGAACACTGCGTAATACTCATGAAGACACTCGCCAAGTTCCACGCCAAGTCCTTCATCTTTGAACGGCAGTACAAAAAGACCCTACACGACAAATTCTCGCATTGCATGCACGAGACTCTCTGGCCGCGCGCTGATGGCAAAGCGAAGGCGATGATCGACGCAGGTGTGAAGGGTATCTTTTCGATAATCGATCTGTTACCTGGGCTGAGTAATAATCAATGTGCTAACCTCAAAGAGAGGGTTGTAAAGCTATGTGCGGATCACACGGACAAACTGTCGCCATCGACGAAGCATAAGAACGTGTTATGCCACGGTGATCTGTGGGCAAACAACATACTGTTCAAGTATGGTGACGATGGACGACCCATCGAGTGCTGCTTCATCGATTTTCAATTTGCGAGGTGATTGTACACGCTGATTTTTTAAAACCTGATAACCTTGATGCACATTATCGTAGTACTTACGAGCCAGTCAAAAAAATTTGCTTCAATTTTTTCGGATCAAATTTGGCTTTGATATTGTAAGCTGATATTTGATATTTTGCTTTTATTGTATTCAATGAATTATTCATCGACTAAGTAATCGCCGTCGTTGACTATCTATGATTTTTCGCCAACGTTCTGGCGACGTTCGTTATTTTACGTTTTTCTATCATAGACGATGCAAGAATTTCTTTTTGAAGAAGATAGAAAATCGAACGAAACTTTTAAATTAATGCAATAATTTGGCGAGTATCAGCGTTATATTTATGTTTTTCACGTAGATACAATCCGCCTGCACACGACATACTGTGCTTCCTTCAATTCACGACGATACGGAAATTACGAGACGAGCACAGCGAGACGCTTTTCAAAATCTATTATGATTCTATGGCGAGTATCTTAAAAGAAGCCGGTCTAAACATATCCGAAGCCTTCCCTTGGGAGGACTTCGTCGAGTCTATTCAAGATCTATACATGATATGCGTGATTCACGGTATCTTGAACATACCTATTATGTTGCTGAAATCTAACGCGGCCAATAAGTATTTTTTCCAGGAAGTGGAACGCCTTGAGAGCATTTTGTATGTTGACAGAACACCGCTCATTTTGGATCAATTCAAAGAGGTTGCGGAGTATCGTGCACGAATAATAGACAGCATGCTAGAGTTGCACGATCGCATAGCTGGTTAAAATTGTCGCGCTCATTGTGAGTCGTATCCTCGTGAACGTAAAGTTCATGGAGAAAATACAAAATATATGCAATTCAGGGACAATTGATAAATTTTTTCAATATATTTATTATACAAATGTGTGTAAATCATATCTTGGCATCAATATGCTACTTTCAGTGAAAAAAAAAATTATAAAACTTAAGCGAAGCACAAAGAAGCGCAATTTTAGATTGTAGGATAAATATAAAATAATTTGTTTAGTACAATCTTCACACGCAAAGTTTCTTATTGCTATATATTAAAGAAAGATAACCTTGGCTTATGCTTATACTTTAAAAAATTATTAATCGATGGAAGAATATATGTAGGAAAAAAAGTGAGAGTTACAAACGTGTGAAGAATAATATACAAAGATATATTTATAATATGGATTTGACTATAAAGAACAATTAAGTGAAATCTAACTAACGATCCAGTCTAATAACACAATAACGTTTAAAGTAACAAGTTACTTATAAGCTTATGATTGTGTTATAACAACGCACGACTCTTATTCTTGCACGCGTAAGATTATTAGTTCCACACGTAATGATAACTTTACGATCTTTGCGATCTAACCTAATATTTTCTAAAATATATTCTATTTTGACGATGAGAAATATCTACCTCCAATTAGGGGAAGTTTTACTAATCAGCAAATAACTAAATCTTTAAGTATATCTCCTTAAATGCCAGACGAGACAAGCTAGATTGCACGTGATATTATCAATATCACATCAGTATGTGATATTTTCTAAGGTATAGTTGTACGCAAACTGTTAAGAACTGTGGTAGTTTGTTGTTAATATATCGTTGTTTCCCGTTGACGCAATAAAAATTATTTACACGAAATATGCCATGCACTTACCTCTGTTATTCTTCACCGTCGCTTTTAAGCGCGATGCAAAGAGTAAGTGTGTTACTTTTTTTAGAAACATCGCAATGTGTGTATCCCAAGTTGTTCTGATCATTGTCAAGAAATTAATGAAAATTTGGAAATCGCAAAAATTTTTGAGTGCCCTTTAAAAGTATCAAGATTACTGAATTAATTCAATACTACGGATTAGCACTCTGGCGAATGTATCATAGCAAAAAAAGTTATGATTCAAAATACTATTTTTCCATTTGGATCGTCGAGGAAAATTTATATTAATGTTATAAATCGAATGCTCCTGTAATAATTCTCGCCGGAATAAAAATCACGGAGTAATAATGCAGAACATATATTAAAAGCCCTTCATATTAGTCTCAGTAACACCATTAAAAATGACGACTTTAATATGCTAGTAGACATTTAACATGCAATTCTGCTAATAGCCGATATGTCTGCCGAAATGATTTAGAAATAATATATCCCTTTCTGTAAGGAACTCTTCCGAGTTTCTGCCGCTAAGCTATCGAATGATGCAACTATAAACTACGTGACAAATACAAATCGTGAGCGTACGGATACTCCTGTCAGCATATCGAACAAACAATCCGAGGAGAAACAACACTCCTGGACGTGGTAGAGGCACTTGACGCCACTTATATGGCACAAACACGTGGCTGACGATGGAAACGACGACGGCAACGACGGCGGAAACAACAACGACGAGAACGATTTTATGCCGACAGTTTCATCCCGCTCAGCACAGGTTTGTAAAGTACTTGTCCTTTTATTACAAAGTTACGTGGATCCGCATATCGAAACGCGAGGCATAAGGGGACTCTGGGAGATCGCCTTCCTTCTCTCTTTTTTTTACTTTTATGTATATAATTATTTATATCATCAATTATAATGAATATATAGTTATGTACAATATTGAATCTCATTCTTTAACAATAACATCAACAACATGATTAAACAACGTTCCTCATTGGTACACAAATTGTAAATGTACAGATAAAAAAGCATTAGGTGAGGTCAATGAGGCATTGAAGGTGGCGTACGCTCAGCGCGCCTTAATTCCCTCTTCTCTTTATACATTTTTTTTTCTTTTAAATTCCTATATATGTATATATGTATATATATATATATATATATATATATATATATATATTAATGTGTGTATATATATACATATATATATTTCTCTGTCGAACCACTTCGAGTTCTTTGTTCGATTTTTTATGGGCTTAATTTTTCTTGTTAATATTTATATATGTATATACTTCGTTTAGGTACACACACGTTCCACATACACACAAATGCGTCACATTTGCGCCGCGTGACGCAACGAGAACATGATTACGACTGATGATATCGATTGAATCGGTGCGTGATTTAATTCTTAAAGAGAGTGCATGAGCGATTCGCGTCGCGCGACTGGTCAGCCGTAATATTCTCGCGCAAAATTTGCCGAAAATAATACGAGCGAATTGTCCCTCCCCGAACCTTGAAGTAACATCGTGCAATCATCGTGATCGCGCGGCAATCGTTTCCACTGCGTCATAAGTTTTTAGGCATTCGAAGGACACGGTAAAACATACGAAACGTCGAGAATAAAAATCGATTAGAGTCGTCGTAACGGAAGTTACTCATTAATTCGGCTCGCTCCGCGCGACGCAAATCTCAACCGATCATCTAAAACTCTACACAAGGCTCCGACGAGTTTTCTCTTTTTTTTTTGTCGCTCTTTTGTTGAAGCGACTTCCACAAAATCTAACGCACGAATTTGTTTTATCTTTCGCAAATAGAATCGCGTCGAGGCGAGAGTCGCCGAAGCTCTCTCCGGTGCTCGTAACGCGGAGATGCCTTCGCGAAGGACTCGCTCGCAAATTCACAGTTTACCACAACGAACCTCCCTTCGCCGGGGGGCTCGAAAAAATCAATCAAGAAGAAAAATCAAATGGACAAACGGACATTTCTCGAGGACGAAGCGACACGCACGATCGTGTCTTTTCGATTGAATCTTTCGCCTCGCATACACACAGCCAATCTTCTCGCATATTCTCTCCTCTCGCCAATTTCTCGCTTCCTTCACGAGGAAACACGAGAGCTCTCGAGAATGAAGAATCTCAGCAATCGACCTCACAACTTGCAAACGGTTGCTAAGAGAAAGATTGCAAGCATATCATCCAGAAAGTGTTTGAAAAGTAATACTTTCATAACAAATTTGAAGACAGCCCTTTCCTCAACGCGACTCTAAGAAGGTATGATCGTCTTTCGCTCGAATCGATTACTCCATCAAATCTTAAGCTAAAGATTTGCATTGAATTAAAGTCTCCTTCGCCAATTCCTAAATCCGAGAGAGATAGAGCGCGAAGTGAGTGACGTAAGTGTATCTCTCCATTCTCTTCCTTCTTCTCGCGGTCTCCTCCTTTCTCTTCCACTTCCTCCTGCTCCTGTTAAACATTCGAGTCTCGTCAGCTCGGATCCGCAGCTCGAGGCGGATGAAATTATGCGCAATTTAACGGCCGGGAGGAAGAGGGAAGACGCACAGAAATCGATCGCTGCGAAAATACATTGTTCATTCACGCGAGTGCTGTACTATGCGCGAGAAGCGCGCAAGTTCCTCAACCAGATCAGTTCGCATCGATAATCGCGATCCATCTATAAATCGTCCTCCTTCGTAGTCATGGCTTGAACGCGAATCGCGAGTCCCTCCGTTCCAAAGAAATTTTGCGTACGTATTTCGAACGCTCACGAGGTGAGTTCTATTTCGAGAACTCACGTTTTAACGCTTTGTATAATCGATTTAGTTACAAAAATATACGATCACCTCACGAATGAAACGCCTCAGAGAAAAGGAAACAACATTCGATACATCTACCTGCACAAGTCCGAAGTAACATTACATCCGCCGTGCAAACAATTAACACGCAATTTACGACATCTTTAAACATTTCGAATGCACAATATTATTCGTACACCTTCAACGATTCTTGATTTCATCATGAAGTAGACTCCCCAGTCGAAACCTCTTCTCGCGAGACTTCCGACTGCCCGTGCTTTAGCAGGTTTCTTCCAACAGCTCTAGCTGCAGGTCATCAGGAAATCAAATGAAAGAACAGAAAAACGGAGTAGCTATACAGTGCCACTCAAAGATCTCTGACGGAAATACACACGCAATCAAAGAGAGTTCTGCACCACTTAAATTTCCACTAAGCTGTATGTATGTACAGTCTCATTGTCTGAATGACATAATAGTTTTGTAAACGAGAGATTAAGTCAACTGTCTTTGAGTTCTTCCACTCGAATCGGGGGGATGTGACGTAACAGGTGGTACAAAACTATATTTGGCGTATGTGGGTTCTAACAACGAGGTACTTTCGCAACGTAAGTTCACGCGACCTGGGGGAGTTCGAATTCTATACACTCTCGCGCGAGTCGCGAGATCTTCCAAGGTCCTGCGTAAACAATCCTTCGGACTAGTTGCACCGACGTCCACCGCAGCATCGGGCCTGATACACTCAAATCTCATTCGTCGCGCAGCACTGCTACGTTGCGCGATGTTTAGATATCTCAGCTCAACCGGCCCCATACAAATTATCGAATTTTCTCCACGATACAGAATACATTCACGTGATAAGACCGCAGCTCGCCGGACGAAGTTAACATCAAACGACACGAATACTACTCGACACGATACCTGTCCTCTCGAGAAAAATTTATCAAGCAGCGAATGATATCCGTCATCTTCGCCGATAACACAGTCGAAATCGCCGAAACACATTTTTCAGCCGTTCTTTGTGCGCGCAGGACACGTCGAATTCGAAAGGATTAACCCGGACCATCGGTGCAACTCGGTCCTATCCGCGCGACCGACGCTACGTCCTTTTGTACTTCGCAGGATGCGTGCATTCCACACTCACGCGCCTCGCCTCGCTCTCTTTCGTCGCCTCACTCGAGCTATACATAGAAAGTTATGTACAACGATATATAACACGAACTGCAGTGGCAGTGAACAGTGCACGTGGATATTGCAAACAGCAGCATCAGCAGCAGCAGCAGCAGCAGCAGCAGCAGTAGCGGCGGCGGCGGCGGCGGCGGCGGCGGCGGCGGCGACGGCGACGGCGACGACGACGACGACGGCGACGATGACGACGATTATACAAGGTGTACGCGTAATACGAAACACGGCAGCGACTACCACAGCTAGCTTTTTCCTCGCTTAATCTGCTTCGTAATCTCTCTCTTTCTCCCTTTATTAATCGTTTATATTTTTTTCGTTTTGCTAGTTTGCCCTTTTTTTACGCTTCTCATCATCGGAGTCACGGATTCCCGTATCGCGAAATCCGCGGTGGCGATGTTCGAGCGCGAAATCGCGATGGTCTCTCTCGCAGTGGCCGACAACGCGCGTCGTACGTTTATCGTCGTCATGTTATTTTCTTTTTTTTCTGTTTTTTTTTTTCTGTTTTTGTAGTCCTCTTTGACTCCTTTCGCGAATTCTACATTACCACTTAATCGTAGAACAGTCTCACGTATGTGTCCGCTCGCACGCGCGCATCAATCTTCACCGATCTAAATCCTCGACTTTGCGTGTATGTGCGTGTATATAGGTGTGTATATATTTATATTTTTGTAGGCGTGAGTTTCTGAGTCCACATTCTGTGTGGATGTGTATGTATGTGCGCGTGATAGTGTGTCAGTATACGAAATATAGATCGTACCTCTGTGTGACTGCACGCGCGCGCGTGCATATCTTATGTACACACACCTGTTCTCGTACGGTGTGATTACGTGTGCGTGTTTTCCGTGTACGAGCGAAGTACAAGTCCGTGTCGGCACGCGCACACGTGTGCACGCGCAGTGGGAGAAAGAAAAAAGTAAGAGAGAGAGAGAGAATGTATGAGAGAAAAAGAGAAAAAAATGTGTGTTTGTGAGAAAAGATATATAGAGTATCTGTGTACAGGTGTATCTGTGTATTTTTCTCTTACATATATGTATATTTGCTTCTTTTTATATATATGTACGTCCGTATATATACACACGTGAGTTTCACAAAAATATATAAAAGAGAGAATGTCTATGTATACATATATATATATGTGCATATATACCTATAATGTATATATACCGATATATAGACGATTTATATACTTAAAGTTGTGTGGAAAAGGGTACTTTATCGTATAGTTATTTATATGTATATATGTATATATATACATATATATAGAACCTGTACAAAGTGCTTTGGTTAAGATATTTTTTTTCCCTTTGTTTCATTAGCCATAAAACAAGACACACGAGGTAAGGGTTGCGCGTAGTAGTCCAGCACTACGTTCGTTCGAGCGCACTTCGTCCGTCCCGGTACTCGAGATTCGCGCCGAGTTCCGGAGTTTATCGGCGACGAGAGGATTTGCCAACGACAATCTCTCGCGATCTCTTTGCGTTCGCGCGAGAGAAAGGGAGAGAGAGAGATCCGGTCACTCTCTCGATCAGACGAGACGTCGATGAACGAGTCCAATTCGCTGCAGACTCCTATCCTCCTCTTTCTCCTGCTGCTCTTTCCACTCTTTTTCGCCGGCTTCTCAGCAGCTCTCGCTCGTTGAACGTCGACGGTGTTCTCTGTGGTTTACATACTATATACATTATAATAACACGTGCTCGAGAAAACGAGCCGCCACGACGGCGATTGTTCTTCCGTGCCACCGCGCGGCTCTACTGTGCAATTCCACAGCGCTCGTCGAGGCTGAGCCACGCGTTAAACGTTAAGCTATACACCCCGTATAGCCCATCGAGGCTAAGCCACGTGTTAGACGTTAAGCTACATTTCGTGTACCCCGTACACTTTCTTCCAGCCCGGTTACGATGGGTCGGTGGTTTGGGGGAGCTCGATAACACAGCGTTACGCTTCGCGAAGTGTCTGATTTTAGTCCTCACGGCGTCGTCCTCGTCGCTGCGAAGACGACCGTTCTTCAGCTCGAACAGAGAGAGAGAGTGAGTACATGACGTGTAGCTGCCCTCGGACCGCACAGCATCGTGCCACTTTCCATCGTTCCTCCGCGTCCTCTTCTTCTCCGGCGTGGTGTTCTCCCATTCATCGTCGTCCTCCTCCGCTTCACGGATCGTTCGTGTCATACTTGCTCCGGTTGACGATCGACGTGAACGAAGCGACATAGTAACCGTGATCGTGGAGCGATCGGATCGACCAGCTGTCGAATCGGAGCGTCGCGTTTGCTTGCCCAAGTCGCTGTGCGCAATGGTCGATCGAAGAAACAAACGTGGCAAATCGGCGATCTGCCTCACCAACGACGCTCGCGATGACGACTCTTGTCGATGATGGTGATGGTGATGATGGACGTTCCCTACGACGAAGACGAGATGTTTGCAGGGACGACAGACGGCACGATGGTTTCCAACGCGCAATTAGATGTAGGAATATGGTCCGTCGGTGAGGGCGCTACACAGCAACAATCAGGAGGAGTCGTCCTTGCCGCGGGCGCCTCGGCTCGGCCTATATTCGAGACCCGGGTCGAACTGCATCAGCACGAAAACCTGGCGATTCAAAGATAGCCAGCCGATATAGAACGCGATTCGCATTCGGGAATTGTGATGAACATGACGCGAAATCAGCTAATATAGTGACCAACATTACTTCAATTATACGTGATACGCGAAAAAGTCCAGGAAAATTGACGATGTATCAATCACTGTCAGATCACTGTCAATTTAGATTACTTTAGATTGTCTCATTGATATTCTCGTTGGATAGTTTCGGAGGGAATGTATGTGTGCTGTGATTCTGTCAGACTTGCGATATTATACCTGATCTGTAGGTAACAGTGTGAAGTCGTCGGGTGGATTCGTGATCACGTATCGCTTGGAAGAGGCGTCGCATGACGAGCTAGTGTCTCGAAACCTAGAAAATTCGAGTACAGGTCAGCGAGTGTAGCGGAAACACATGAGTGAGTCGACGATTACACGAGCTGGACTATATATAGTATATATATAATATATATATGTATATACACCACAAGTGTAACTGAACTAATTCGAGTTGAACTAAGAGTTAAGCTAAACTAAAGTAAACTAAGCTAAACTAAACTAAACGAATGTGAAACGCGCGTATGACGGTCAACTAAACGCTAAACAAGCAACATGATGACACTGAGAGAAAGAGAGAAAAAGAGAAAGAGAGAAAGAGACAGAGAATAGACATAAAAAATGATAGGTATTTTTTGGATGAGGGCAACTTACAATCGTCGTTTCGTTATTATACTTTCTTTTCATGATGCAAAAACGCAAAGTGCAAAAAGTGTGCGGCAAGAAAATCATAAGTCATATAGTATGTGAGTAATAAGAGATAATAAACGGCGGTACAATAATAATGGCAGCAATTGGAGTAAGTCATTGTTTTCGCAGAGACGGTATATATAATAATAATATATATATACAATGTTGTAGAGAATGTAGTGCGTAAGGGTAATCCAATAAATACCATCGAGAGAGGAAAAAAAGTCCGGTACCTGTACCTGTACAGACCAATGCACAGCATTCCGTACGACTTTAATGCTGCGACAAAGAGGTCACCGTACTTGCCACTCTCGCCATATTGAGCCAATGGCCCGTCGTACAACGCGATCTGACCAACGCGACACCGATCTCTGTTGGACAAACTGTCCGCCGTGCTGCAAACAAGACAAAACACGTCGCGTTAATTAAAAACACATTTCTCAAATCGAGAATCGAGAATATCGATTCCTCTATCTAGGAGATCTAACCTGTAACCTCCTCTTAAGCCTGCCCCTTCAGCCAGGATCAGTTCCAACTCGGGTGTGGCTCCACCGGTGATCAGTGACCGGATCAGAGTCAGCGCGTTTTGGTTGAAGTATGTCTGCGGGAGTAGTTGAAGCCGTACTTATTTGCGCCGTTCTTTCTTTATCGTCACGTGTGGTTCGGCATTACGCTCGTGCAACGCAAGCCTGAACGCGGAAGATTCTCGCCGCGAATGAACTCAATTTCGAGTAATGCATGGTCGTTCATATGTACGCAATGCGAGATATAACTCGCGGGGATACTGACCGTCGACATGAGGGAATCTAACACGCTGACTGCGAAGGCAGTGCCGCAGGCGAACGGTTGGGTGAGGTAGAGTTCCGTGTCCGGGTCATCGTCGTCGTCCTGGTCAAGGAACTGCACGTTGCTGTCGTTTACGAGTTCTGGAACAGCGATGAGCCGTAAATAGAGAAGATCATAGACATCGTCGATACTTGAACATTCTAATATTAAGATCGGTCGCGACTCTAAATCTTCGATAAAGAAACGCTTTTAAAACCATAATTGCCTCTAGTATTATAATTAAATATTTTTTAATTATTTCATATTTATTACATATTTAATATTATAATAATTAAGACACACTATTATAAATAGGATGACACACACACGTGTATGTAAAATTCTTTGACATTTTATCAGATGCATCAATTGCATTTTTATCGCGCGCCTATAAAATCTCGAAAGATTTTTACCTGTAATCATTGGCACATTTGCTCCATAAACGGATCCTCGCCGCTGCAAGACGATCGGGCTGCCAACTGCGGTAAAATTATCTCGTTGAAATTATTCGCTGTGTTTGCACTTTCGATTCAACGGTATGTCGTTGTGATCGAGAAGTATCGTGTGATTTCGTACAAAAACGTGTCTTTGTCCGCACATACCTTGACTAAGCACGCCGATCGTGTCATCGAAAGTCATGGCCTTGATATTGAGGGATGCGAGAATGGCCTCCTTGTCGGCGAGGGTGGGGTCATCATTGCTAGGCACTTTTGCCGACAGGATGCAACACATGTCGCACAGGTTCACATTAACGGCACGCAGATCGGCTCTACTCAATGGTGAACCCTACGAAAGATTATTTTGTATTCTCATCTGCAAGTTTTTCGCCAGAGAAATAACACAATGCCAAAAAACAAAAAGTCACAATTTAAGGTTTGTTCTTTGTTAGCTGAACTGTCTGAACTGATGCAATAAGTTAGAGTAAGTAATAAATATATTTTGTTTCACTCTAACTTATTGCATCAGTTCAGGCAGTTTAGTTAAAAAGAACAGACCTTAAATTTCTCATTGCTCTCATTTCGCGCTCGTATCATACTTCCCCGGACTGCGTTCAGATTTCTCAGTCGAGTGCACTCTATTACTAGAAACACTATAGTATATGTTGCATATATTATAGCATTTCTAGTATTAGAGTACACCCGGGTAGGGAATCTGAACACACTTCTGCCTGCCCATTTTTTCGTTTATGTGTGTTGCTATATCTAAATTTAATATAATCCGATACGAAAATTTTTATGATGGTCGATAACGCCTTTAAGTACAGCAATGCATGAATTAATGTATAGAGTATTTAAAAAATTTACTGAAAATTATGGTAGAGACAATTTTTTAATTTTTTTAAATTAAATTCTATTGTAACGTTATTTTTTAAATTAAAGTCTACTATAATGTTAGTGATAATAAGCTTATATGCATGTTACTACTACTATTTTCGTGTTAGAACAATCAAGAAATATTGACATGAAAAATAACTATAATTTTAGCTGAATCAATCATCTTTTTCTGTCAGCGATTGCGTGAGACGTCACAGCGACTATACGAGAGCTCACATTTAGAACCGATATCTTCGGTAAATTCTGCAGCATCTTCCACTCGCGGCGTATGTAGTCCACCGACCCAACTATCACTACGTGTTTAAGCTCGTGGTAATGAAAATTGGAAGCTCGTAATGGCATGACAAGGTTTCTCAGTCCGATAAGGGGCGAGTCGGGATCGGCGAACAGGCAGACGACCACGTGCCCGTTCAGGACTGTCATCGCCGCCTGATTACGATCCAGTATGCAGTCTTCGAGGTTGCGAGAGGGACTCCAGTGGAACATCCCCGTCGAGTCGTACTTCATCTCGGTCTTCTCGAAGTCGAAATCCTTCGCTTGATCGTCAGCGATCCCGACCTGAAGACCGCCGTTGTTGTTGACGTTCGTGCCAGCCGAGGCTCGGCTCGTTGGCCTGGAAAAATCGCGTGCCGTCGTAACGTGGGCCTGATACCTGGGCGCTAGATACGATCTCGTATAATAATCATTTATGTAAACGGATTTACGGATATAAAACGTCGTCGTCAACTGTGTTCTAGAGTAACGGTAACGACACGATTTAAATAACACTTATATCGTCAGAAAGTAAACGTTATCTCAAAGGACAATCACACATGGAATTTCCTTTTCCTCTAAGCTCTCGTTAAATCAACGTAGACCGTTAAGCCACACTTTCGCATGCATCTCATGTACATCACGTTCGTTTTCTGTTATCTAGCACTACAGTAGTGTATGTTATTCCTCATCCCACGAAGGAAGTTTAGAAATGTTTGTCACCAATTTTTGTGAACCTTACTATAAAATATGTTGCTATAAAATGACCAAAAATAAGAGACACACTATACTTTCTATACGTAGAATTAGCTTCGAGCGAGCATTTTTGCCTTTAAACATATTACAGATGAAGTACTTGGAAAAAATATACATCTCTTACTTTTGATTTTTCTACGATTTTTCTATCGAAGGCTCGTCAAAATCGGCAAGAGACACTTTTAAATGTTTCCTTGTCAGAGCGAGTTGGCGTACAAGTCGGGTGACGAGTTACTCGATTCAGCAGCAGCGAATATTAAAGAAAGATATAGAAAGATACATTCGTAGATATTAAGCTATCTATACTGCATGCATGTAGATACGGTGTCGGTGTGTAGTAAAGGTTCCAAAGTGGGACTGCCTCCATAAATTTCGCAATTTCTACTTTCGTATCGGATATTACGGAGCGGCTAAACAATCACGGAGTCCGAGTTCAATGGGTATATAATTAGAGAAACGGAGAAACAGTTGGATATTAACGAAACATCTGGTGAAATATGAACGGGCCAAAAGATTTCAGTTGTGAAGTTACCAAAATGTTGTTCGAGTTGACCAGAAATTTTGTCAACTTTGACAAAATTCTGCTAACTTCAATTGGACTTTTCTGGTTCGTTCATATTTCAGCAGAAATCTCGTTAATTCGACCACAAATTTTTTTTTTTCTGTGTACACGTATATGTAATTGCGATAACACATTGCGCGCTGTTAGCGCGGGCGAGTCCTCTGGAAGAGAGGAAGAAACAGCGCGTTTTCCTCGAACGCGGTGCGCGACAATTTTTCACGCATCCCGAACGGAAATCGGAATGGCGTTCCAACGTAAGCCACCGTCAATCGCATTCCCACATACGACACCCACGTGTTTTACGAGCGTCGTTAAAGCCAGTCGCGTATGTTTGCCGAGATTAAGTGTCCTCGTAAAACACACGGAATTCCGCAATTTTTTGCAGACCGGCTATGCTACGTGTAAGTGCAGTGCGACCTCGGGCAGACGCTATGGAGGTAATGTTCGATAGAAAATTTAACACGACCGAAGATAACGCTCGCTTGTAATACTTATACCCGGCTGTAGCTAATAATTTACCTCTTGTCGTGAAACTAAACGTGAGAGGATCGACTCGCGTCTGTCCTGGCGGACTGATGTTTTATTTTGCGTTAACGATCGGATTGTTTCAATCGAGAGAGGACGCGCAAAGTTTATACGATTAATTGCCTCAACGAAAGGAAAAGAGAAGACAATTATTTCCCTCGTAAACATTAATCGCTTGATTCCCCGAGACAGACGAGCGGCAACAATTATTTTCACGGAAAATAATTGCGCACGGGGCGCTGTAAAACAGGGCGATTGGGAAACTCAAAGTTCTTAATTCGAGGGAATTTAATTAATCCTTGGCGCCTCTTTCCGCGTGGAAAAGCAAATGCGTCTGTCGCTGGGCTCCCGACACGGTAAGCGTTCTGTCACGAATGGCAATCGACAGTCGAATGTTACTTGACATGCAGGGAGCATGTTCGCTGTTAAATAGTCGTAGGGTGATGGCAGTCGCATGATCACGTCACAATACAAGATAGCGTTAACAACAGAAGCGTACATGAGTTTTTTGACTTCGTAGGCGAGATGGTAGCCAGCGTATGCGGACTCCTCTTGCGATCTGGAATCAGAAGGTTTGCGTAACGTTGGATCTGTTCTCAGGTAGCTCTTTTCTTTTTTCTGATTTGGCCCACGATGAGAAAAAGAGAGAGAGAAAGAAAGAGATAGATAGAGAGAGAGAGAGAGAGAGAGAGAGAAAGAGAAAGAAAGATTATGATGGCAGTGATGGGTGATTCCTCGGCGATTAAACTGTCACGATTGCAATTCGACCTTCCGTTATTTCTCAAGGGAGAAATACCGTGACCCGTGAGGGTCTATACATACATCTCCAAATGTATCTCGCGCACACAACATTCGTTTCATCACGACCGCAAGCGCGATGCGCGCGACGTGCTCGTCCGGCAAAAAAGGATCGAACCTCCGATCTTGGAATAATAGCGGAAGCTGCAGAAACTAATCTAGCGGGCGTGTAACAGGTTCATCGGAAAATGTCAACGACCACCTGTAGCCTGTTACTCGCACCGTCCGATAACATAGTAGTACGAGTGGCTATCGTTCTCGCGCGAACGATTTCTCCCGTGATTTATGCGAATCGTTTGTCGTTCAAGTTTGCGGCGCCCTTTGTCAGCAGTTGAGTGAAACGATAGGAAGCGCCGATTTTTTTTTTTTTTATCACTGTTGTTTCCTACGAGAGATTGCGAGCGCAATGTAACACTTTGTCGCACCGATACTCGATACAGGAGAAAAACGCACTTCCAACATCTTAAAAGTTCCCGACAGAGACGAAGTTAATGCCGTGACACAAATGAGCGGACGCTGACTCGACTGAGATACTTGTATTGATTGTCACACGTGTGATCAGAGACGGATTCTCTTCTGGTAGAAATAGCGGAGGCCGTGACGCAAATGTAGCTCTCAGTGCCCGTGAAAATTGAGACGTATATGAGGACGAACGGATGAATGCGATGAATATAAGCGGCATCTCGTGTGCTGCGAACACGTAATTTCTCTCGTAAACGCCAATTTCGTCGTAATGTACTGCCAAGCATATAGTGATAATTAATAGCGACAAATAAAAGAAACGAATATAGGACGAGGAACGAATTCGGCGATATCACGAAATGCTCCAAGAGAGAGAAAACAGATTGCACGTTAAGACACGACGGTTTCAAATAAAATCCAATAAAATAATTACACAGTGTCTAAAGGAACATACTGGTGTATGCAGATACGTTAAAGGAAAATCTATGCTTTGACAAAGAATAACGTTTTTAAAATCTCTCGCGGCAGATTTCCCTTCGGAAGTTCAGGTTTTATGATTTTGTCACGCCAATGTAGGCAAATATGAGAATTATGCTCGATCGTAGATGAATGATTCTGGATCGCATCGAAGATCCCTACCGAGAATCGGCACGTTAAATCTTTGCAGGTTATATGGATAGTACGTTCAACACTTTTAGAGACATGCTAATTCGAAGAAAAAAGAAAAAAAACGAATGCAGAGGTTGCCGATACATATTAATGTGCAGATCGTCGTATAGTGCACTCGATCAAAGTGGGACGTCGTTTTATTAATGGATTAATATCGTATAGCTGAGAGGTGTACACGCATTTACAAAAGAAAAAATACGAAAGGCGCACGTTCAAGACTGCATTTACTTTGTCATGTTACGGTAATAGTCAGGTTATTCAAAAGTATGCTGCGCCGATTCGTCAATCAGAAAGCGTCGCGCAACGCATCGACGTGCGCTAAGGGTAGTTCCCTCGCAGGGGCGAGATACCTGCATTTTGTTCTCTCCGAAATGTGAATTCCACTTGCGATTTGAATAACCCCTGTATATAGTACGCGAGAGAAAGAGAGTGTAACTCTAATCGTGCAGCTATGAAGAATACATGTAAGCTTATATAACTGGAGTACAAAAATAAATGCATTGTATACGACAGGATAGAGAGACAGATCAAGAGCGTACTTGAGATAGATATTTACGTTCAAGCGATTCAAGAAAGCGGCTCACTTGTTCACAGTGTGTCGGTATTACATGTCGAGTGCACTGTAAATCTCTCGCTATGAAGTGACACAAACACGAGGAAGGTACAGAAAAGAATCGGAAAATCCGGACGCCGTTATTCTTTTTTTTTTTTTTTTTGTCACGGGCAAGATCGCTCTTTTCTATTTTCTTTTTTTTTGTTCGTTCTTTTTTCTAACGGCGGTCTTCTTTTCTTGCTCCTGGTAATTCTCAGTAGTGAAATTCGCACGTGTCGCTTCGATCGGGTGCAAGACAGGCATGTCGTCGGATTAGCCGCGCGCGCGCACGCGCGATGAGTCAATGAAGATCGCGTATGAAGATGTGTTCCTTTCCACGATGTGAATGATGACGTTTGGATGCGTACATGTCGGGTGACGAGGGCGGGATTAGAATGCGCGGCATAATTAGGTACCTCTGATTATACGGCTGATTCGGACTGGACAGGCTGTCGTTCGTCGCTCGGTTCACGTTCGGCTTCACCTTGTTGACTTGCTTCGTCGAATTCATCATGGTCATCCCAACGGAGTTCCGATGATTTCTCATGGCTGCAACACAAGCATGCGGTCTCGCTGTGGGTAATATCGACGACGATCGCGGATACATCGCGTGTCGCAGCGACATGATTAACATTATCAGCGAGATTACGCGTGTCAATGGAAATCACGTGTACTCGTTGGTGCGTTTTAATTGCAAAAAAAGGAACAATTCTTATATTATATATTTCTATAAACTATAATATTATATAATATATTATATATTCTTATATATTACTATAAACGTTTGTTTCAGAAACATGTTTTCTTTTCTACAGAAATTGCGTGTCAAATGGGTCTAACAATGGATCGGATGACACAAATGAGACTTACCATTTGGGTCATCTCGTTCGCGGCTGATCTCACCTAAAATGGATAGAACAAGGTTAATTCGCATCTGAGCATCCTATTTGCCGTCGATAATGGGCAAAGCAACAATGATTAAGACGATTAGAGTGTCACACCGAACGTGACCTAACTCCCCCCATTACAGCGCGCATTATTTCCGTGATGACGAGCCTACGGCCCCATGCTTACAGGCGCGCATACCTCACCCTACTACACGTATGCTTCGCATGTGCCGAACGATTAGTAGTTAATGGCGGCAATCAAATCGGAAACCCCTCAATTGCTGGGCTTTGGAACGCGCGGATTAAAACCTTTTTATTTCGACGAATAAACGCGAAGAGATTATAAATTGACTTTATTTGGTTCTGTGTAATTTTCGTGTGAAATAAACCATCTCGTACGAAGTAATTTCTACAAAAAATCTGTCTATTCGAAATTTTGTTATTCTATCGGAAAATAAACGTTCAAAATTTTTCCAAATATATTTCTTGTAAGATAATAATATCTTGTAACGTTTCCAATCAAAATTTCTACACGATTTTAATGTCAGATATTTGTAGTATCTTCTCTAATTAAAAAAGTATCGATTTCTCAAAATTTGGTAATGGACTTGTCCACTAACTGAACGTGAACACAGCTTACAGAACCAGTCGATGAAATATTTTTACACTTTTCGTGCTGTGTATTTCTTGGTGTAATCTCCGAAATATGAAGAGAAAGGAATTTAACTCGCGCGAAAGCCAAGTAATTAAACACTGCTTCAGAAATAATTGCTAGCCATTACGGCACTATAAAACTTTACGGGAACAACATATGGCACCTGTCGCGGTAGTTTCTTGAACAACCATTTTCTTGCGATGACGAAAGCGAAATTATAAAGTAGGTGATATACACATATATTTGCCAGATGTTACCAAAATCAAAAACTTCCATATTAAGAACGATTAATCTACCGTGCTAGCTACAAATACTAAAAAATCCGTCCTCACAAAAGTGAAAGGTATGCTATCGATCTCAAAAGCGCATTTCACAGAATCAACACGACTCAATCGTAGAACAGGCGCATTCTGAACGTTTGAGACGAAAACTTCTATTTACGATACAGAGAAGTTGAGGGGAGAAATTAATTCAGCAAAAGTACTCGAGCTAATACAACGTTTCTCAGACTTGTTTTGTGGCCCAAAAAATATTTTGCGACTCGGGGACAGAGTTGTGCCTGCAATTTATCACGTCAAGTATCACCCGAAGTAGATCGATCAAAAGATAAAATCAGGAATGGTCCTCGCAGAGAAGCTACGAAAGTATGAGAAACGCTTGTGCAATTAAAAACGAGATTTACTACTTACGCAGACGAGCACCAATAAATATTTCAAACATCTTAATTAATTACTCAAATTTAGCCGCGTGACTTTAATTAGTCTTCAACGACTAACTTTAACACTGTTATCTTACAATTAATATTCCGGTCGTAATTCCTCTAAAATTATTTACCGTTTACGAAGAGATCGGTTTATAGCAGAAACAGAAGGCTCTGCAACAATTGTTAATTATGTAAAAGCCAAAGAATTATAGATACTTTATGAAATATTGCCTGTTCATTTACTTTTTCGTACAGAAATTACCAAAGCCTTTAAAAATGATTGTCCGTTGCACAATACGTAAATCTACACAAAAAGAAAGCCGTATAATTTGTTCGAAAAACCAAGAAGTAAATTAATCACTACATTTTATTCATTAAGGTCCGATTGTAGCAAAAAATATTAAACGCTTTAAAGATCTACGAGCGAAAAAAAGAAAGAACGGCGAAAAATCAGGTGTGTAAGACTACCGAGTACTATTGTAACTATACTAAAATTGCGTTCTGTGCAATCATCTATCGTTTCAGCGATCTTGGTAATACGAAACAAAATAGCGACTCATCTCTTAGAAATTGTAAAGGAAAATAACACAATCCGAAACAAATTGCCATTAGAATATAACGTGACATAAATTATTGCAAATCAAAAGTGCACGCTACACTCGTGGTGACGGAACTGAAACAACGGCAAAGTATGAACAGGTAACGTTCATTGAATCTATTGCGACAGCTGCATGCACCCGTCAATCATAATGGAGAAAGTAGCACGCGCGATAGCAATACACCAGCATACACGTGTCAAATCAAAAACGAAAAATCGTAACACCTGATTTTTATTTTTTTTCTACTTTCTCCAATGTTCTCTCTTTAGCGACGAGAAATCCGAGTATCTCAAATTTTTATTGAAAGAAAAAGAAAGACGAAAGAGAGAGAGAGAGAACAAAAAATTTGTAATCACTATCACTCGATAGAACAAAACGTGTCAAGAACCAATCGCTCAAGCGTGCTCGACGAAGCGGATGAAATGCGGAAGATTGAGTTTCCGATGTCAGTCGTGAGCAGCGATTCTCTTTAAGCACGTCATTTCTTTCAACTGTTCCGGCTTCAATAAGCGACTTTTCGTCAGCGTGTGACCGTATATGTGTCGTAATTTGCCGATCAAAATTAGAAAGGGCAGCTTGCGAGACTGTAGCATGGTTTTTGATTGAGGTGTGACTGTACCTCTTACGTGAACCATCTTGGGCAGTTCTGGCGGAGTGAATGTGGGGGGAGGATGGTGGTCGTCTGTAACAAACCACTACACATGTTAGCTACCCTAACTAATTACCTAAGGCCTAGTCGCTACTCTATCGTTGAACAGTACTAAATCTGCGTTTTAACGTGTCGAAAGCAAAGTTCCGTTTCAGCGTCGCGTGTGTCAATCATGTCGATTGTAAAATCGAACAACGAACTTTCTTTGTTGTTTTACTTTCATTATTCTCTAGCAGCGAGGAAACGAAAATAATCTGTACGCTTACCTTGAGCTACGATCTAGAATGACAACGAAATATAAGAAGATTAAAATTTCATCTGGCTTTTTTTATTAGCCGGCAAATTAAGTTTATAGTTTATGTACACATACATATATTGAATATACATTAAATAGATCGAGTATAACGATTATCGAGTATGACAATAAAATATAAAGGTAACGTTTACGATATCAAGCTGAAACGGCCTTTCATTAATTCTAAGAAGGTATCGTCTATGACCATTAAATTGTAGACAAGTGTGTGTGTAATTTTGAGACTCTAACCATTGAAATACAGAGCCCGTAACAACGTGGACGTGATGTGCGAATAAAATCAGAGAAAGAGAGAGAAAGAAAAAGTAAGAGAAAGAGAGGAAAAAAGAAGAAAAGAGAAAGAAAGGGAGAGAAAAACAGATCCTAAGAAAGAGTCTGAATGTATTAAGAAGCAAAACTTCCGTCCACGTTGCGGGAACATTACAAGACAAGTACTAAAATTGATTCACGATCATAAACGTGCAAGTGTGCCCAAACCATTCCTAATTCATGCCGAGGATGACGCAAGTGGAGAAGGAGCGCGACGATGTCAAGCACGTTCGCGCGGTGAAATCGAAGGGCGATGTAGCTTATTATTTCCGATGAACGTGCACAAAGCCGCGCTAACAACACTTGGTCGTCTCCACTTGCGTTACACAGTCGTGCTAACATCGTGTCCTAAGCATGCAAGGGAGAAAAGGAAAGAGACAGTATGAACCTTACGTAGTGAATATTTACTCGGAATTGTCAGTGCGCGCGCTTTGCATCCTCCGAGGGGCGGGGGAAATCACGTGCAAAACGACAAAGACACGTGCGAAAGCTCAGGGAAGAATCGAAAGAGAGTGTGCATGAAAGATCGTAGAGCTCTTCTATACTAAGAAGCGCAAGGGGATTTCTTTTTTTCCGGGGGAGTTTTTGAGCTCCGAGTCCGCGGGAACTCGCCGTCTGCGAGCGAACGAAACGAGATGCATCGATCGCGACCTGTATCTGTTTGCGAGCTACGTCGTCGAGACCGACGGTGGAGTGTGAGCAATGTGTGGAAAAGGCGTATGATGCGCGTGTGAAGCTTCCCTTTACGCACTTACTCGAGACTCGTTGAGCGAAACAGCGCTACGCTAATTAGAAGCTTGTGATATGCAGCGCGCGCGACGCGACCGTTGTCCTCGCTCGAAAAGTCAAAGCGAATCCCCATCGACGCGGTCCTACCGAGAAAGCTGTTCCAGCCAGGGAATTGCTCGGAATGCAATTCGCCGTTTGCAAAACGCAAAGTTTCGCGGAATTCGCCGGGTACGGTCTTCCCGGACACGACGATGTATAGGAAGACTAACAAGGAGACAATTCAAATTGACAAATCGAGTTACATGATGAGACACTTCGCGTCCAGTGAAATACGGAAGTTCGCGCTCGCCCGCTCAAATTTAGATACGAAGGTCTCTCTTTAATTTTTACATTATCAGATTGGAGAAAAAATGTTTTCATGGAGTTATCGTAGGCCTGATATTAAAAAAAGGAAAATATCAAATCCTCTTTAAATGTCTGAAAAAATACCCAATCGATGTTGTTCATTTAAAAAAAATTTTTTTTTAAATCCTTTAAAGTAGGATAATTTCGTTTCTTATTTTATTTGACAAACACGACAAACTCCTCGCACCGATCAAACATTATTAATTTAGAGAATCCAATGTATCACAGTATATCCAAATCAAGAATCTTTCTCAAAATTTCGCGTGCGCCGTAACGATTATTTCTTAAACTGATGTGCAACTTTAATACGGTCTCTCCGCGAGCTCGAGCTGAGATTGACGTGCATGTAATGCATTTTTTGTTGTGAATCCCACGATACGGGAGTAGATACGCGTTCCCGCGTACGATCGAACGCAATGGGTCTCGACCCGTAACTCGGGCCGCAGTTGATTCGTTTCTTTCTGAGATCAAGCGAGTCGGAAAATCGGAGAATCGATCAAGCGGCGTGTGTTCGAGTAAACGTGCAAAAGGTGGTACGCTTCATCGGCAGTTGCGCCTGCGGTGGTGACAGCGTGTTGTACCGTGAAACTGACGAACGTCCGCGTTAGAGCCGGTCTACGCTTCTACGTCGCGCCTTGCAACGCGTATGTGCGTTGCGCCTAAATCGCGCCTTTTCGTGAGGCAATTTTTGTGGCCGCGGTCGGTGTACGTGAGCGACAATTATATGTATATATATAATATATATGTACACAAGGTAGGAATGCATAAACGTGTTAATAGACAACACCCGCGCTCTGGTTGGACTTACTTGTGTACGAGAGCTCTTCATCTATGCGGTAGTGGAGGAGACGAGGAGAAGATAGTTCGGACAGATAGACACATATAGATAGAGTTAGTTAAAAGAGTCTGATCTTGCGGAGCTCGTGTTAGTTCCGTCGTGAAACCGTGCGCGCGCGTGTGTGCGTGTGTGTGTGTGTTTTAATTTGCTGCTTGTCTTTTTCTTGCGTGAATTCACCGTGTAAACGCGTGTCTTGTGACGTCTATATATACGCGCGTGTACTTGACACTTAATGCGATTGCTGATATGTCTCGTGTGAATCCAGTGAGTCGCGTGACATGAACGTGTATGTATTTGTATGTATGTATGTGTGTGTCTATGCGTGGCTCGAAATGAACGAGGCGAGTGGCAATGTGGAGATTATTAATTGTCGTTTCACCGATAGTCCTGTTCGTTACTTCCCTTACGCGCGCATCGCTCACGTGTAACTCCGACGTGATCTAAACATCGTAAGAACCAGTGCTCGCCGAAGTCGACGAGCACCGATATGCTTCCGAACGGGGAAAAAGTGAAAGAGAAAGAGAGAGATTGTGAGAGAAAGAGAGAGAGAGAGAGAGAGAGAGAGAGAGAAAAAAAAACGGTATGGCAATCGGAGTAACGGATACCAATGATGATTCATCAAGCATTCTCATCGATATTTGCGCCGGTGGCAAAACAAATTGTCCGCGGAGCTGCTCCGATGGCCAACAATTTTTTTTTACGACGCGGAACACTCGTTGACGCGCGCGACAGTGCGTTATTGGCGTCAATCGCGCGGGATAACGTCCATTTGACCATAATAAAGGGAATACGCGCACGATTGTCGGCCGGCTTGTCGATCAACGTGACATCTACGTGCTCGCGTACGTTCAAAGAGTGCTCTGCGAACTTTCGGGAGACACACATGTGTGGGTACACTCCATACCTAACGCACGGCAACACACTCATGATTGTCACGGGACATTTGCTATGACGTCGGAAATATTCGAGGGACATAATACCGAGTATGCCGAATGTCGGGTCACGTCGGCGACATTTTACACGAGAGTCCATCGGTATCAACGTTCGTTGTCTCTGCCACAGGACGGGTTATAAAGTTCCACGCACAATAAGAGGGCTAATTCTAAAGTATTCGCTAAATTACACGAGTTATATTAGATATCGAACACCGATGCAAGGTCAATTGGAGGTAATAAGTTTAAGACTCAAGGCAGTCACATCACGCGGGTTCTCAATTGAGTCAACTTCAATAATTCACTCACAACAATAACCATCGAGTAACACTTACAAACTTTCAGGAAAACTACATTCAAAAACGACACTGATAGTAGTAGTAGTAGTAGTGTATAATCTCGGTTGCAAAAATAGTTAAGAACACCACACCAATAGGGACTCAAACACTAACGACGGTGTCTACGCTGGAACCATTTATCAATTCGAACGAACTTTGGCAGATTAGCACAACGACATCTTTCTTTCTTTCTTTCTTTTTTAATCTTTTTTTTTTCTTTCTTTGTTAATTGTCAGGACTTATCGCGGGAGATGTGGACTTAATGAGAACAGAATGAATATTACGCAATTAGTGATAAAAAAATCTCTGTGGCGTGTCTCTCACACACACACACACCACACACACACGTTGTGCTAGTCTTGTTTTACGGAAGATGTGGACATTGATTCTCGTTATTTTTTTTTGCTTTTCGTTCGGTGAGCTTTGATTTACGATTTAGGAATCGCGGAGAATTTACTGGTGAAATAGGCCTTGACGAGAGGCGGAAATTTATCGCCGGTTAGCGAGCAAAAAAGAGATAAATAACATAAGCGATTAGAGTTTATCATCGGTTCGTTGTAAAAAATATGCATGATTTAATACCGTATGAAAGTTACAAGTATTCATATTGAGAGCTCTTATAATCGTCAAGGCCTCGTCGTGAACTCGTTTCAAGACAAATTGACTTTATAATTCATATCTTCTCGAGTTAGAACAACTTTAAACAACGACAATTTTGTACAGCATTAAATAAACGATGTAAAATTACACGAGGCTGCCATAGACATGACCTTTGAATCGAAGTTACTCAATGAAAAAAATCCGATAATGTTATAAATTTATACCGCATAAAAAATGCATAGTCTTGGTTATATTGTAGTCGGAATTGTACTATTTGAATGTTTTAATACATGTTATAAAAAAACATTCCTTCTCTTCTTGAAATAACTATTTTATGTTATCAATTTTCTAGAAATTTTTCACACACTTTTATATAAAAAAATAGATGAATCGAGTCATTAGTAAAAATGTGTGGAAGACGTTGTAGTCAAATGATATTCAGCTTATCATTACTCGTAGTCACAATTTTATCAAGTGTTACAATGTTTACAGCTGATGTTTCGAGTTAAAGGTCATGTCTCGCGCAGAAAATCATAATCTTCCTTTTTTTGTTTCTTTTCATTTTGCAATCGCGCCCTGTCCGACAAATTTACTCTTCGCGAATTTCCGTATTAGGATTAAGATAAAAAATGACACTTGGTACACAGTCTACACACGGGAGATACGTACTTGCTCTTCCAACCATCTGAACAGCTCGCACGCCTTTCCGGAATGTAGCCACTGCCCGAAGGGAGGAGAACCAGAGCTGTTAGTTGTCACACCAAAACAATGTCAACCTAGATGCGGGGGTCTCAACGGGTGTGGGGTTGGGGGCTAAATCCGTGGTCCCGATCGATATGTCACGTTTAGCACTCAGTACACTAAGGCTTATCTTTATCAAAAATCTAGACTATATTAGGAATCGCTATTAGAGAGGTTTACGCGTATTTCTCTTTTCTTTTCTTTTCCTCGTATCTCTTGATCGAACCTCCTGATCGAATTCGAGTTTCATGATTGTTCGTGTGACCAGTATCCACAGTAATTGCATTCGATTGCTCGTGATATTTGCAAGTCATGCGTGCGTATTTAGTTCACAGAAGCTCTCGTCATTGAAAGAAGCATTAGAAGTAACTTTCGGAGGGAAGATCTGGCAAGGCCGAGCGACGCAGTTTTCATATCATGTCACGAATACATCCCTGCTCTTGCGAAAGTGTCATCGTGGCTTACTGTAACGTGACCTTCGATGGAGAGATTTATTATTAACACTGGTGTTACCATTGCATAATTTACGTCGGCCTACTGTGAGGGTCGCAACATACAGAGATTGTATATCTGCGCTGTGCGGTTAAACCACGTATTCAGGAATACGTCGCGTTAAAAAAAAGCATAGAGAGAGAGAAAGAGAGTGTGAGAGATACGCTTTCTCAGAAGTCACAATATCGGTTATAGTGTCGGTGTTATTGTTGTGATGTTAGTGAGTAGTGTCAAATATGCTCGATATGTGAAGGGGGAAATGGAGTATTTTTAGCCGATGTGTGTTCGATAAACCCTGGGCATCGATTATCATCGTCCCTGTAAGCTATATAAGCTTATGATACAAGCTTACGTCTTTGGTGCTTTCGGTTGCGTGCTGTATCCAATTAATCACTCGCGCACAGCGACATTGAAAGTATATCACGGAAACAGAATTTCACGTGCACGGGCAGCAGATCGATATCGTACTTAATAACGTACTCCGCCGTATAGATTTTCCCTTTACCTATGGAAATACTGTATGTCCAAGTCGCGGAAAGAACGATGAAATAATAGCATGTCGCATATAACGACACTCCGGACCTTTTGACGAATATACTCGATGTGAAAACTTGTACATATGAAATATATGAAATTCTAAGAATACATATCGTATCCTATCAACTGGGTGCAGGGAAATATTTGTAAATGCAGCATATTCGAACACTGGCGCAAAATTCTCATACGACGGGCGTCTGTAACCACAATCTAATCTTGTAACCAATAGTGCGGTTTGCAAATTGAATCAGGTAAAAGAAATAATGCTAAAGTTTACTGCATTAGCTTGACTTGAACAACGATCAATTATGAAACTTGTTACGCAAATAGAGCAGTAAAAAGACACTTCTCGTGAGAGTTGCCGAGAAGATGTTTCGCTACGCTCGCTTTACATTTACATTTTACGATTGCTCGTCAGATACCGAGCCCATCAGTGATTTCGATTACAGTAAGCAATGACTCTTCTCTTAGCGAAACGCAACTTCCACGAGAGAACATACGATCTGTGCAAAAACAACGTTTACGTAATAAATATATGTATGTATATACAAGGCGACCCAAAGAAAGTAATAATGTCCACAGCGCTTAATTTTACTAATGATACGGAAAAACGGAACATATATATACGAAATAAATGATATTCTGTGTGGGTAACCTTATATATACATATATATGTGTGTGTATATATATATATAGAGTGACACACCCCATTTCCAAACTGTCGCGTAATCATTATCAACGTTACGGATAACGTCGCAAGGTGTTCTATCGATAAGAAGGGATGCGTAACTAAGTGCGACAATTTGGGGAACTGGCGGTGCGGAATAACGTAAATTATTCATAAAACTCCACGTAAGCACACTGAAACAACGGTTAAGAACGATAATCGTTAGCAAGCACCTGGAATACGATATCGTACGGGCGAAGCTCGTCGATTGGTGATACGTGGCAGCCATTTAACGTGAAGACACTAATATATATAATATATGTACGGCTCGGCAACGTGCAAAAATGCATTTTTTGCGCGGAAGCGACCATTGTATTTGTGACAAACGAAGCTAAACGTTGCGTAATAGTTGATCGATTCGCGACGTTATGACCGTCCACTCGTCCAACCGGCGTGCTTGTTATACTCGGCCTCGGCCCATGTGTCGAAGTAGAAGAAGCGGCCAACAACGTTAGTGCTACATAACGTAACATATGCTGCTTTTATTATAGAGGGCGATACTCGATAACTCGCTCATGTTATCAGCCATCAGCTCTAGCAAGAAGCCCAACAATAAACAGTACGAATCGAGCGGATCCAAGTGGGGAGAGAGAAAGAGAGAGAGCATCGAGTACGGGTAGTGTGGAGTAAGTGCATGTGGTAGTGAGTCCGCCGGTCCGGCTATTGTACGTTTATTATCACTTACGCCATCTTACCTCGTCAAATATCAGGTCAAATATCAGGCCTGGCTGGCTCGGCCAGAAACGGCAAGTTTCCGTGAAATTTTGGATAAAGCAAATATTGTTATATGTATATATACCTCGGTTTGCTACCGATCAATGTTCTTAATAGCACGATTTCCTCACGGAAAGTATACCGAGTCCGGCAGAACGCCTTCTGTCAGATACAACGAACACGAATCGTGTACACAATTAAAGCATTTGTGACTTGAAAAACGGGAGTTTTTCACAAAGCGAGTTTTTCACAAACCATTTTTCGCTAAATATATATAATCGAGGATTCAATTTTCGTGTTCATTTATGCTGACAAACTCCCGCAGCAGCAGCTGCGACGGGCGAATGGTGTGTGTATACGGGATATGAACGGGATGAGGAAAAGGAAGTTGGAAACAGGCATACCGTCGAGGTAACTGCTGTAGGCAGTGTTTCCCTTCACCATGCCGGTCTGCATCATCATCATCCCCACATCTGCAAAAATCCAGCGATCGACCCAGACACGGGTTTGTGAGTGTACAAGTAAATGGACAGATGTACATACACGAGGGGGACGGGGGAAAGAAAAAACGATCGACGCGTCTTTTAGTAACGTAGCTTCTGCGGAATTCGTATGTGCACGTACACGCGAACAGAATACACTGATTTATCGGAAACTAATAAGCATTTAACGACAATGCGTAGAGAAATTCGACAAATAAAATGATTCGACATTAATTTCACGACTTTCCATCACGAATTTCCAATCAGCACAACACTGACACTAGCTGGAATGTCTTTAAGAAGGTGGCGCACACGGAAATCCCGCGTCGTCCACGTACGAATTCGAGCACGGTATTAGTATCGCAGTATGTACGTTCAATCACATAAATAAGTGGATACACTCGATATACATAATCCAAGGTACGCAACTCTGAAAAGACGCCGAACAGAAAAGAAAAGCTCGCTCATCTCGGGCAATGTTACCTTCGGCGTCTCCCTCCTGCATTTCCGTCGGCGGATTCTCCGGAGGGTGGAGGGGAAAGGAGGGAGAAAAAAAAACACCTAAAATCGGGTCGTATTAACGTCCGTCGCGATCGACATCGAGATCGATCGCGCACGTCGCCCGGTACTCGAGCGAGATAATCGAGTACGGGAACGTTGATTGCCCAGGGTTTAGGGTATTGCCGTTCCTGTATATACGAACGGACTGATCTGTGTGACCGGTTGAGCGTAAGTCGCTATCGAGGGGAAACTCGTGTGAATGTGGTGTACATGGGTTGTGGTGTACGAGTGTTCGCCTGATGCGATGCGGTATGTCGTGTGTGACATGGACGGAATTGTCGGCGGCCGAGGGCGACTCCGAGGTCTCTCCCCGAAGTGCCTGAGAGCGGCGACGGCGGCGACAGCGGCGGCGGCAGCTGCGGCGACGGCGACGGCGCCGGCACGGGGTCTCTCTCGTCGTTCGTGGAACGAATGGAAATGCTCCTGCCGTCGGCGCACCACCGGGCGATCCAATTTCACGATCGGCGATTCAAGAACGAGAAACGCTCGACAAACGTGAGACAACGCGCGTGGCGGAGAGAACACGCGCGACTTGATCGCGGCCGATCGATCGATCGATCGATCGGTTGGCAAGAGGTTTCATCGATATCACAGCTAGTTACATGTTGAGAGAGGAAGAAAGACACAGTGAAAGAGAAGTATAGAATGAAAAAGAGAGAAAGAGAGAGAGAGAGAGAGAGAGAGAGAGAGAGAAGGGGTGAGTGAGAACTGGCATACGATCGAAGAAAGTAATTTCGGAAAAAATGGTGACAGCGAGAGAGAGAAAGAGAGAAAAAAAGAAAGAAAGAGAAAGACAGGGGTGAAAATAGACAGTGATCGAGAAAGAAGCTGTCATTACCATTATGGCGTAAACGGGTCCGTATCCGGGAGCTAGTTCATGCATGCAAGGCGAGCGAGAGGGGGCACACACTAGTAGTGCAGGCTAGTTTTCGTTCTCGGTCAGGTGGACATGCGCCAACTGACTGTACTATCGGGAATTACATGTCGAGCCGACACTTCATTTTTCACGTCATTTCACCTCACGATCGGAACGAGCATAGAGATTATTTCGTCAAGAGGTTCAGTGATTTGATCGTGTATTCAACGTTGCGTAACGTGGAGCAATTTGGCCCACTCCAACTTGAATCTGCGGCGAATGCGTTCTACTCGGACCGTTGCAAACGCACATTCGCTCCTTTGTAGTAGCCTTGATCGCCGATCGATTTTAGCGTGTTTATACACGAAAACATCAATACTACGCAAGCGTCGGCGGCGAGTTTCTCTCGACGTTCGAGAGAACGGTGTGACAGTGAAAAACGAAGGAACACCCGATCGTAGGCATCGCCTTGGATATTGTGTCTTGCAATGAGGGTCAAAGATGCAATCATCGTCCTAGTGTGATTATCGTCGTCATTATGATAATCACCACCTCGTAATTATCACCTTGGCTTGCATATGCAGAAGATTTGATCGAAGGCGTGTATATATTGGTAGGATACAGAGAAAGATAGAATATATAGATAAAGACAGAAAGAGAGAGACAGAGAAATAGAGAGAGAGAGGGGGGGAGAGAGAGAGAAGGGAGAGGAAGAAAGAGATAGGAAGAAACAACTCAACGGAAAGGCAAGAAATAGATCGCAGGGCGCGAAACAGACAGATACTTTCAGTACATAGGCAGAACAGTAGTAGACAGTACAATGAAAATGGTCGTATGAGCGGCGAGTTAGTTGATTTGATGTTCGGCGAGTGGGAAGGGCGATTCAAGAGCCAGATCGTATATAAAAGGGCAAAGAAGATAAAAGAGAACAAAAGTGTTAAGAGATAGTCACAGATGATAGTAAAGTATCAGACTTAACGAACGAGAGTGTGAGACGTTACCTAAGTCCCGGCCCCAGGAGCGCTGCTGCTGCCCCACTAGATCATATATCACAATAGGATAGTCACAACCATGTCACTTTGTTAATAGTCGCAAATATTACTGTTATCGCTCTCGATCGGACTGAGGTTTAAAAAGGCCCGGCAGAAGGCCCGGGGTAAGTGGTCGGGTGGTCGAGAGGTCTAAGGGGGTTGGGGGGGTGGGGGAGATAAAGAGAGCTTCCTGCGTGATCCGTTCGTATCTTTATACGTAATTTCACGTGGACACGTAAATATGTTATGTATAATCTTGCGAGTCACAGCGACACGGCAACGCGATAGCCCCGTCGTTGGTAGACGAGGAGGAGAACGAAGGATTGTGAGCCGCGTGTGACTCGCAACGCTAACGATAGATCGAACGCGTTCTATGTACATATGTGTACAATTATATATATATGTTAGAGATATATAGACATATGTATAAACTTCGATATATAGAGAAGATTACGAATGTCGCTTAGCAGAAAATTTGGCAAGAATCGAGAAAAGGCTGTTTAAGAGGATCACTGGGTTAGAAAGACTTACAATTTTTGCACTTGCACTTCTTGATCAGAGTCTCGTCTTTAATTTCCTCGTGGCATACTTTGCAATAGAACCACGCCCTGGAAACAAAAACAAAAAAGAACACATTAGTACTCGTGCGAATTGTGACTAAAAAATTGGCTCAAGAAATGCCAATTTGCCCGATAGAAACGACGACAAATGTTAGACAATCATGTAATTAAACATTTTATCCAATTACGGAAAGTGCTTGGTTCGATTAATGAAATGGCGCAAATAACGCAGGCTTCGATTTCAATTAAATACGACCTCATTTCAGTAAGCAGCATTCGGGCAACTAAATTATCACAAAGCTGTGAATGCGCTTGAGCAAGATCGGGAATGAGTAAATATCCGAATGAACCTCTACTTATTGAATCTTCGAGTAATGTTCGAGAACTCTTACCGCTTCACTTCGTCAGCAGATTGAGCAATGAAGAATCCCTGAGTATTTGCAGCGATCTTGGCACCACGTGGATTAATCGAGATTTTACTGTCGGAGCCTCCTTCGCCTTTTATCTCGATGGCCAGCAGTAAGAGCTTCAGTTTTGTGAAGCACAACCTACGATGAAGTCATGCGTAATATTCGATGTCTCACAAATTATTAATCGGGCGTCACAAGCTAACGTGGAAAGTTTCGCGCGTACATTTCGCTTGTTTTTTTTTACGATACATTCATAGACGTGATAACATTATACATGAGAGAGTGGCGATCGGCTACGACAAGCGACTAGAATTATTGCAAAGATAAGACGTCGTTGATAATGAGTTGCGCATAAATAAACACAATAACGTGTAGTAATGTACTTGAATATTAGAAAAACAATTTCAAACAACAATATACGCTCATTGTACAGAGCTTTTCGCAATTACAGCTACGGAATTAATTGGCGGATAGAATTCACAAGAGCAAACAGAAGAGAAAAGTCACGATGAACATAACTCGACGAACGAATAATTTTCGAAATATTGTCTTTCACTTTATAAGTTACATTTCCGACTGTTCTTTCGCTTCTATTTATTGTACAACAGTTATTTAGTATTACTTGCACTTTTGAGGCGATTTTCGAGAACTATACTTATTTTCTTCTTCTTGCCTCTCCCGTTCAGTCGTCAGACTGCGATTAGACGGTTGCTGCGCTCAATTTCAGGACCAACAACTTCATAAAACCTACGCAACTCTCCCTAATTTCTGAAACTAGTCTTCTATTATCTTTATTATTTCTATTATTTCTATTATCTTTATTATCTCTATTATTTCTATATATTATAATGTTTCCATCTACGCTACGCGACACATTAATATTATTATAATTACGACGATAAAATACTAATTTCAATAAAAACTTTCCAGAAATTAAAAAGTCTCGCAAATCTTTCGAAGTTGATAATCCTGAGAGTAATCGCCGCGACAGTCAGTCGCGAGGCTCTACGAAACGCTTCTATTTGAAAGTTGTTGTCCTTCAAATCAGTAAGAAAAACAGACTCGGACACGATCATGTGCTACAGACATTGCTTTATTTTACGTCTCTACATCAATCCGTTTAAGAATTTCGTCTCTTTGTTTTGACACGCTCGGCACGAGCGAAATCTCAGCAAGAGTCGAGCGCGCTCTGTAGTGCTTACTAGACACTCCGTTCAGCGAGCACGTCCTGGAGTCGCCTCATAATGGAGGGGATAGCGCGACCTTTTGTGGGAGAGGGGAGACAAGGCCTCGCATCGGCTGCTTCTCCGTTATCTCGACGGGGAATGTGGACACGCGCATCTGTCCACACATCACGGTGCTTGGGGTAGGTCAGCTGCTGACCTACGCTACGCGGCACTTGACCAACCCTCGACAGCAATACCGATCGATGAAGATCGCCGTTCGATACAAACGTCAATATCTCCATTTATAGTGGTTATAGAGACTTCGGGAAGGGACCGTTGGATAGCTCAAATTTTCGCGTTCCTGATGACTCGACACACGTTCGTCAAAACTTTCTCGCTTGCTTTCGCGAATTGTATCCACCAACTAGATTTTTATCTGTAATTCTGCAATACCTTGTATGACAAATGATCATGAGAATGGAGCACCGTGTAAATTGTATGTTTATATTGCATTACGCAAACTACTATTAATATAACAAGATATTAGAACTGATCGAACACAACTCAATATCATATACTTATCTTGATTGTTAACAATGAAACTTGAATTTAAAGAGAGAAGAGTTCCTGTTCCTCGCGTTACTTGAATTTTGTTATCGTGTAATAATGAAAGTTGTATGTGTCCCAGTAAAATTATATAAATTATATAAATACATTTCTACGATATAAATCATCTACGAATGTTATGTCTACAAATGCAAGTTTCATTGTTCATGCGACAGTTGTGTTAAATACAAACGGAGCATAAAGTATATCATCACGTTATATTTTGATTTCACGTATGTAAAAATATACATAACAAAACATGTTGCTGTAATGAATATAATAGCAGTACTAAACTTCTGAAAAGTTTCACAGATAAAGACATTTATTATATGAGATTTCCCCAAAGAAAGCAATATATTGGGTAAAAATATGACATGTACCTATTGTATGTGTTAATAGTTTACTACATATTTTATGCTCCTCGTTTGTAATTATTCGTAGATAATATGTGTTAGATAGTAAGATATGTGTATACACCCACAGCGTAACGGGACATTGATTATCACCAAGGGAGGACGCAGAGATAACTTTCAAGTATCAAAGTTCTCAAATTTTCACATAAACGAAATTTGAAGATAAAATTAAAGTTTATTCGTATTTAATTATACAACGTCCCGTTATACCACCTCGGCGATAACAGAACAATCATGCAAGCCGTACACAGCATATACTGAGAAAGAGAATGGGAGAGAATGTGATGAATTAATCACAAGCTATCATGCAGGAGAGTCTTACGTAAACGATAATTACTTATCTAACGATACGAGTCGAAACATGCCAAGAGATCGGAAGTTTCTATCACTCTAGACTATTATGCTCTAAGTTCCTAATCTACTTCAAAGTCCCAGAAGGCATTCGGGAAGTTCCCCACGTCCGTGAAAGGATCCAATGGCTAACGTTTTACAAGCATTTTATATGTACGACTGTATACAGATATCATATGGCGTAAAGATAGTAAAGGTATTTATATAGTGTTCATCGTGAAGATCGCTTCTCACAAGTAAATCCCTCACACACGCAAACCAAATGGTGGCAGTAATCCAAGTGTGCGCATAAACGAAAAGAGAAAAATTCGGAGGAATCGCGAGAAACTCTTCTGTCTTGCGAGTGACGATGCGAGACACTGATATCTCTGCGCTGGCTGCAATGTTGTCGCAACAGGAAACTCTACCAATGTAGTTTCTATCTTCCGTGAAATTCTTCCTTTTCATTTACGAATATTTCAACCATTTCAAGAGATTTCTCTTTAGTCAATGTTTCCAAACATTTAAACGTGTGACGTTGAATGGCTTAAAATTTAAAAATTATTGAGTTTCCAAATAACTTTTATCGTTGCTTAATATATTTGTAAATAAAATGAAATGTTTAACAAATAATCCTAAAAAAAGCGCGTCCAGCGTCTAAGAATCAGTGACGCGATCGAGTAGATAGGCGAATACGGTGCAATTCAGACGGTTGAGAAAGGCTGTCGATAGAACGGCGCAACTACTTTGTCCTTAGGAATCCGTGGTTCTCTTGGATGTAAAATTATTCATTGAATAATCTTTTTACCGTCTCTCAATAATATATTCATTCTGCACTGTTGATTCACGCGGTACCGGGCAATATAATGTATATCTTTTCTGTGTAAGTACGTTTTTCTCATATTATTTTAAATAATTTCTATGATACTTATTTTCTCACTGCAACAATTTATGAGCATTGATGCGGGCGAAAGACGTCAATTTTCTCCCTTTAAATATATTTCCTGGCTTTATCGCACCGTATATAAAGTACCTTCCCCATATACTCTTTCTACTATACATGCAGTATACTTTACACTTTCCACGTAACGTCGTAATCCTGCAATCACCGCGTGATGCGATATTTCGACTAACTTTTATCGTGTGCGTCCCAGTATCAGCGAGCAGTTTTCTACGGCATACATTAGTATTCGCGGGGAGCGGCACGTTACTGCGCTTTTGTTACCGCCGGTGACTTTCGCGAAAACGGAACTGTGAGCTCGATTAAGATCCAACGAACGTTGCGCAACTAATTACATAAAATTCATGAGCCGAGTAACAGCCACCCGTATATCGAATACTACCCGTACACTTCTCCAATAACCTGCGTGTCAATGTGTTACGAGTAATACAAGTTTCACATACTTTTACACGGTAAAGAGCAGCAGGCATGCGTGTACAAAGAACGCGCTTTGGTTAAAAGAAGATTAGAACGCTACATCTAAGGAACACACACCATGACAAGGATACGGACATCGCCGACAATAATACAAAAAACCCCCTGCCCCCGTTGCGTCACGCGTTCGAAAGTGTAAAATTGCAAAAAAAGAAAACGGTGGGACCTCTCCGTTCAGGTCCCTCTTCCCGAGATTCCCCCGGCAAAACTAAAAATCTCACGCGTGTTCGCGTTTCTTTCTCATTTCGCCTCACGTTGCGCCGCAAAGGTGGGAAAAAATTGTGATGTTGCTGTCGAAGCGGGATGCACGATTTACCAAGGCGAATGCGGATTTCGCAACGATACTTGCACGCGCGTCTGATCGCGATTACTTAAAACTTGTGGGAACGGCCGTCGGTCACGTTACCACGACACGATATTCCGTGCGCGACGATTTCAGATTAAAGCATTCAAGGTCGACGATCGAGTCGTTTCCGTGACATTTAATGCGCGCATGTCATAAGCCACGTAGTACAAGGTCTTCGAAGCGACTTTCTACAATTTAACGGTCTTCGCATTTCTTTCCTCGTTACGACTGAATCTTAGTTCCATCTGTAATATTCCTTTTATCGCAATAATTTTTTACGGCAAAGATAAAATCAGAATTCTCGGGACCGTCCGACTTGGAGTTGAGGAAACGCGGGAAAAATATGAATGTAGGTACATCTCCCATCGAAATATTCCTTTCGAAAATTTCATTATTTCCGAAATTACTTGCGATCTACTGCGAATACGCGCGCAGACGTCAGCAACATTGGACGAAAAGTCGCGAATGAAAGAAACGCGAGGGAAAAAGGAGAACGCGGCGAAAAACTCACACGGGTCGCAAGGTAAACGGATCGAACGGTGAAAGGATTAAGCAATGCGCAGTTCCAATCTCGATATCAATTGTTCCGCGTGGTAGTAGTCGTGGGATATGGGTGCGCCGTCGTTCCGCGGTCGGTCTCGACATGGTCGTCACGCCGTTCCCGATAGAACATTTTCGGAATCGCGGCCATTCGCACGGCGCGCGAATCGCGTGCGCCGGTGTTTCCAGCAATTTCCGATCCGGACCCGGGTGTTTAAAACACTTTCGTTTCCGCGACTCGATTCCCCCGTTGCCAATCAAGCGGCCCAATTATACCGAGCACGAACGGACTCGATTTTCAACGCCCCGACTGCAGCGAAGTCCGCATTCGTCCGCATCCGCGTCTCTCTACTTTAATTCTACGCAATTCACAGAGGTCTGTGCAGAATCTCGAGCAAAAAGTCGAAAAGAACGCAAGTCAAAAATGATCGAGAAAAAAAAAGAGAGAAAAATGTGGCCGTAAAGGCCGAAAAAGACGGAGACAGAACGAAAAAGACTGGACGTGTGGGGTTTGGGGGAACAAAATTCGAACAGCTCTCTCAAAACTGGACTACTCTACGCAAAATCCAAACAAAAGGATAGACAAAGACGAATATAGTAGAGACTAATAAAGAAAATCGCTCAAGGGCTAAAGTAGACCGAGGTGAAGGGCGATATATATACGTTCTCGTGTGTACAGATATGTATGTAATATATATGTATATATTGTATGTACGTCTCTCGGTATGTCGGGATATATTTCAGTATGTTCAGATAGTTCGTGAGACCAAGACAAAGAGATAAATAGAGAGAAAGAGATAAAAAGAGAGAGAAAGAGAGAATTAGAGCTAAGAAAGAAATTCGTGACCGAGTGTTACTGTAATCGATAGCGTATATCTTCGTATGTATCTCGCTCCTTCTTTGTATTGTATGTTGTGTGATGATATATCGTGTATATGTGTCAATTCTGTGTGTACGTGTGTATACGTGGTGTGTTACCACCAGCGAGGCCAGTAGTATGTGCGTGTATCCTCGCTGATGTTACGTGTATGACAGCCGTTGTCAGCGAGAACTTACTCGCTGGCTTGGGGAAATGTCATCCCGGTAAAGGACGGGGAGAGGGTTTCCGTGTACATCTCGCAGCCCGTGCCCTGCAGGTAATCATTCTGCCACGCCTGAGTGTCCGGCGACTGAAACACCAACCAACCAGACCCCACGTCATCAAACTTTTCATGATCCCAAGTGTGGACGCGCGACGTTTTTCGGTGACGGAATTTCCCCCGCGACGAAGAGCATCGGCTCAAGTTGAGCCGCTACCCTTCGTGGAAGGAGTCGGAAAACTGGTTATACCGTTTCGCATCTAAACCGAGAAAGGAAGTAATCGACCGACAAATTCGCCTACGCTATGCGACGTTAAAAGCAACTTCTCGCTCCTTAGATCCGAGTTCTGTAAGAAAATCTGGTTAGAGGTACTCTATACGGGTCCTATATCCGAAGGACGCAAACGTACGAGGCGCGCTTTAAAGATCACGGACGTCTTTTAAAGCCCACCCTCGACTTGTTGTCGACGACTACCTACAGCCGGGACAAAATGTAGGCCATGAAAACGCTCTCGGGTGTTGATCTCGAGCACCATCGTATCATACATCGACGCACGACGACTATGCACGCGATGATGCATTTCGCAATTATAGCGACCGACCAGGGTAAGAGTTATCACCGTCGAAACGAACGACCGCCGGTAATGATCAAATTCCAGAAGCCGTAATTCCGAGCGAGCACGCGCGCGCGCACACACACACACACACACACACACACACACACATACACACACACGCTCACTCACTCAGCCGCAGCAGTATGCGCGCGTATCCGAGCGCACACGTCCGATCTCTCTTCCAAATTTCTGTCCCACCCCTGCTTGCCATCCCTATTCCCATCAATCGCATCGACTCGATCGATTGATCGAACCTTTCTCGCATTTCTCCTTCCTTCCTCCGGTTGGACTGGCGCGTCGCTTGCGCGCGAGTTCGCTCTTCTCGATTACGTTGATCCCTTCATGTGGCGTACAGTAGGACTTCTGAGGTTCGCTGAGAGCGCCCTTTCGTTGACACGAGAGACGGCGAGGGCGCGTCTTCGACCCACTCCTCGAATTACCGCGATAGGAAGGGGCCGAGAGAACACGACTCTTACTTTTGGAAATTCTAGACTCTCCGTACAATACTTTCTCCTCCGCCGCGTATTTACCTCTGACGTCAGTCAGAGTCGTCAGCATCGCTTGTGCTTTCGTGACGTGTGCAATCGTCGAGAGAATAATTTCCGCAAAATAGAGATGGAAATTCTCCCGGCCGCTTAATCCGCTGATGTATTATTTAACACTCAACTTTTTCCCAATTACGTGCGATGCAAAAACGCGTTTCGAGCTTCTACAAAGCGCCTTATGAAATTAGCATAATCGGCGACGTCGAGCGACAGACGGCCGAGGAGAAATGTCACTTTTCTCCTGTCTCTCTCTCTCTCTCTCTCTGTCCGCAACGAGCTCACGGAAATCACGGAGAGACCACGAAAATACAGGTCACACGTCCTCTTCGCAGGTAACCGAAGCGACAGCAAACACCGCGAAATTGACAACAAGATGCGGGTCAAAGGATCGCTCTATGAATCTGGCTGTCCCGCTAGCGCGCCAAAATAGAGGTATTTCTGACCACTATATTTGCTCTAAACGTGTGTGTTCGCCGCTGCAACGATCTTGCGGAAGTTTCCAACTCGAGCTTGCAGCGGCAAATACGACGGCCTCGGTAATATCGAGTCACCGCGTCGAAGAATAATCGAAGAGATCCAGCAACTCCCCCTGCAAGAGAGGGATCGAATCGTGCCGTCGCCGCTCAGTCATTCGTTCGAAACTCCAGCGCCCACTTACTGTTAATCGATGTTATTGTTACACGTCTCTCAGAGTTACACGTATCATATCAATTGCGAAGAGAAGGGTGAAAAGTACAGATACGTTACTGAAGCGATGAAGGGGTGGTTTACATCGATTAGGTGTAACACAGATACGGTTTTGTACAATATAGTAGACACGTTCATGTATCATATTGTAATATACACACATGTATGCGCGAGACACATGGAAACGCGTCGTTTCGTTGCATACATGCGTATACATACACGTATATACGTTTACGTATATAGCGGAGTGGAGCGTAGTGAGAGACATAGGCGAGGCGAAGCTTCATCCCTTTTTTTCAACCTTCTAATTCAAGAGACCACGGAAACTGTCGCCGAGAGCGATCTCCCTGTCGTTGTTGACGCGACCGGACGCGAAACGGCGCGGAACAACAGAGCGAACAGCGTTCAAGCCCGCAAGATAGACGACGACGATTTTCGTGCGAATTCCTCCCCCGGTTCGAACTCCTCGCTCGAGAATTCCCCGAGAGATCCCATCATGGCTGATAGGGATGTGCGCGTAACGCGAGGCAAATCCGACGAGTTTCATTTGTGGTCCTTAAATTTCTCGGAGTAGAATTTCACACAGAAAAGAGAGTGACCACCGAGTCGCACGGATTCTCTACTCCGAATCGTTGAACGAGTACTTTCACTCAAGATTGAAGAATGAATCTGACGTACTCCACCGTCATAAAAACATATTTACTCTAATCGAGTGAAATATTCGCTCGTCAAATCCACTCTGAGCTTGAGTGAATCATTCACCCTTGCAATTTCGAGAGACAGTATTTCACTGTCGCTCTGAATGATAAGAAATACCATCACTCTTCACTCGTTTCGAGTGAGATTCCACTTCAAGAAATTTAGAGAGTGTCTCACAAGGAATCGAAGAGCTCGAAGAGCCGTCCGTCTCCCGTAAACTTTTTACGTGGGCCGAGATGGGACTCGATGTAAATTGAATGGATTATCTTAACTAGACAATCGAACATTTGCAAATGTTAGACGTTTGAATGTTAGACGCTGCAGTGTAAATGACGATAACTCGTTGCGCGTCGAAATTCTTCGTTCGATTGTAATCTCGTGATCTTGTTGACGCTATTGCAAACTCGAGAATAAAACGCTTGTTAAGTTAAAACAAATAAAAGACGAGTTTTGCGCGAATTACCGATATATTCAACATAACAATTGGTCATCCCTGCAATAATAGTTAATACGCGTTCAACCGTCTCCCTTCGTCCATCTCGAGCACGCCTCAGAGTTGACAAATGGTGCGAAAGTCGCGTAAACTGAATTTCATTACACACGTAATCGGGCGAGAATATCCTCTCGCTTTCATTATTCAATCGCGAGTGAACGAAGCGACGATATAAAGCCACCGGCGAACTTTACCTCCGTCAAACAGTCCAACCTAAGTTTCTAATTTTGAATCCCTCTGCAGCATAAAAGCGCGGTATACAACGCAAAAAGTCCATAAAAATAGCGGGAGACCGAGTCCCCTACTTTTCCTAGTTAGACGACAAAATCGATCGTCGCTCCACGTGTTCGCTACGTCACTGGCTGAAGAAGAAGCATGAATTAAAAATAATCACACGCGCGCGCGCCACAACACAATATTGTCGACACGGAATTGGCGGCAGCTACCATCACGGACGGTTTCGTATGTCCAGAGTTTCTCAAGTAAGTGTTGAAATACGCGTGATGATTCCTCATTGGACCAGAGCTCATTCGCCATTAATAGGGAAGGAGCGAGGATAGGAGTGGAAGAGTAACTCTAACAGAAGTGAAAGAGAGAAGCTTTAAGATTGAAATGACGAAACAACTTCTTTCTCACTCACTCATTCACTTCTTTCCTACAAATGGCGGACGGCGCCCTAACTCTTATTTGAACAACTCTACATACGTCTCTCCTATGCAGATTTCTTTTGCGGCCGCATCGTGAGAAAGAAACGACGATGTCGTCGCGACGCTACGAGACGAAATAACGCGGAAAAACTTGGCGTTACTTGAGCGCAAAGACACAAAATCGCAAACACGACGCATCGTGTGCACTCGTAAAATACGTAAGATCGCTCACGGCGAACGGTCCGTGCCGTCTCTTGAATCAGATATGCGCGTATCTGCTGGATGTTGGATTGGTCCGTGGACCGACTTACTCAGTGGCTTTCGCAAAGGGCATTCCAATGAAGGTAGGGCTCAGTGTCTCGGTGTACATCTCCATTCCAGTTCCACGCAGGTAGTCATTCTGCCAAGCCTGCATATCGGGCGACTGGTACCAATCAACCAACCATTTCTAAATCACACACGCTCCTATGCATGTACGGATTGTGCGCGTTTGTCCACAGTGACACAGGTGCTCGTGCGCCCCTGGCTACTTACTTCCGGACGTGTCGCGACATGTGACACGACATGACGTGACGTGATCTCGAGACGCTCGCGATTGCCGATTTTGTCACACGAGACGGTGTTAACAGTGTGCACACGAGAGCAACGATTTTTGCACGCGAGCCGCGACGATGATTTATCGTCGAGAGTAGCTGTCAGAGAAACGCCGTGTCGAACGTGTCGGCCGGCTTCGGATCTTTAAAGGGACTCGTGCGAACTCGAATCCGAGCGAACGCGCATGCCCGTTCTCGGTGCAAATACGAGACCGATATCAAGACTTCTTTTCGTACGCGATCACTGTGAACAGCCTGACCGTAAAACAAACCTATACGAGGAATTGCGTTCAGACATGCATAGAGTAAAGAATGGCAGATAGACTGCCGGAGAACGACGATTTACTGACCGTCTTGAAGGAACGCATCGCGAAGAGGTTGGCCATCATCGTGCTGAAGCCAGGTGCAAGGCAGGACTGCGCGATGAAGCCTAGTTTCAACTCCGCCAGACATATGACGTCGTCACCCCGCTTCCAGTCCCACGATGGAATGTTTAGTAAGTAGGCCTGAAACAGGATTCGGGAGCCCGGATGAGAGAACGTCATCCGACGATACGATCGCGACACACAGCGGAAGAAACATCCGATCCTTGGGATACACGTATCGCGCACTGAGATCACTTGACCCGTATTAATAGTTGTCACTTGAGACTTGTTTCATGTGAGATATATAGGTTAATAATATATATATTAATAATATATATTAATAACATATATATGTTAATAATTGCCACCTGAAGCTTATCTCATATGAGATACTCTAATTTCAGAGTTAGATGCAAGTTTTTCAATTACATTATGATATACGTGACATTTATTACCGCGATTCACAATTAAATCTTGTCTGAATTTAAATCTGAATGTCTCATGTGAGACGAATTTCAAATAATAACTATTATTGCGGATCTAATATTTTTCGAAAAATAGTTCTACGTCCATATACTTTGCAAATTGCTTTCAGTTCGTACACAGCCGAACGATCGCACCTCGCGTCCCGGTAAATGTCTTAATAAGTTAAAGTACAATACAACGCGCGCGCGTGCTATCCTTCCCCGAGCGTTTCTTCATTCGAATACGGTTTTACCTTGTTGTGATACTGCATTAATTGTATGATAACGCGAATGTCGTCCGAATAGTTCTTGATGGAGATGACGCGCATGATGTTCGCCGCGTCTTCCGCGTCCGGATCCTGGCAGTACTTGTTAGCCAGTACCAAACACGCGTCTGCTTCGTGTACCTAAAAAGCATCGAGATAATCCGTTTCGTGTACGGTGTCCGTCGCTCTGTTCTGTAGTCAGTTAATATAGGCGGGGGAGAAATGTAGAGAGATCGGGCAGGACGTTGGTCTCAAAGCGATAGCGAAACAGTGATTGCTCTCTGAGAGTATGTTTGAAAGTAGAGAATGGAGCGGAAAAACGTAAAAATGTATCGTTCACAATCGATTTCGAATCGCGTGTCGTACGAGAGCGAAGAGAGAAGTAGCTAATTTCATTTTCTTTTCTTATTCTTTGGCATGCGTCGCCACCGCGAGAGAGATCAACCGCGGTGCGTATGTCGCGCCGCTAGATCTACGGTTCGTTCATCTACAATTTTGCGTTCGCGTGAAAAAGAAGTGACCATTTCGCGAGAGCGCACGGGACACAGTGTGCAGACTCTTCGTATCAGAAGAGTCATGATGGGAGAACACGATGGGTGTGGAGAGAGCGTCATCGAAGATACATCGAACATAGTATGAAACGGGACACTTCGCGAGATATAAAGAATACAATATATGGAAGTATGCATCTACGATAGAAAAGTCATATAACAAAAGCATTGAATAAGACAACAAGGACTACTTGACATCGAAGATTCGCACGGCTACAGTAGGATCGTCCAAAGGAGTTGGATTCAATTCTCAATCGAGTCTCAATTCTATTGTTGTTCGTCCGCGATTCACTCAATGATTTTCTCATCGACAAACCTTATTAAAAGTCTTGCATCGATTTCACACATTGTGTATTCTTCTCTGAATTTAACGCGTGAGATACACTCGATCTTGAATATCGGAATGAAAATAAACTTCAATAACGCGAAACTCCGATGTGGAGCGGAAACTCGTGCGAGATAACGTAGACGTCTTCGAGAGATACATAGACTGCTTGGCTTCGTGCGCACCTTCGACGCGGTCGCATAATTGGAACAACGATGAAAATATGAAAGCGAGCCTCTACGACGCATTCCTTGATTATGCAAACCTTATCGATCATCGGGGGGAGCGGGGAGGAGGTCGGTTCGTCTAGTGTTCTATACATCTGAACAATGGAGAAGCGCCTCTATCTACATGCTAATCTATTGACTAACAAGACTTGGCATTAACCTCGTTGTGTAAAAAAAGGAACTATACAAACAGCCAAAGAACGTACCGCCCCGTCTTCGTCAGTGCAGGATCGATACACTTAACGGATACCACGGATCGACTATCTCCATCGCATACTAAGTCTCTAACAGAAACTATCGTCTGGAAAGTAATCGTCTGGTGAACCAGTCCTTCCACGAGAAATACACGGGAACTTACCCGGGTCGACAGCAGGCATAGGTCTATCCGGTGAATGCAACACAACCTTAAAGGGACTTTTCTCACGTAAATGAGTGTGCGTAAGTATCCGTATGTGTGTATATGTGTCTACGTATGGGTGTATGATAGAAAGTGACGTTGCTTTCCTCTCGGATTTGCTGCCGGGAATATATATAGACAGAATATAGATAGACAGAAAGATGGAATGAGAGAAAGAGAGAAAGGCAAGATAGATAGGTGGGTGGATATAGATAGATAGATAGATAGGACAGAAGCTATTAGACGACTTTACTGAGGCGAACGTGGAGTTGGCGAATATTGAGTTTTGGTCACGATTGGCTCTCAGGCCTGCGTCCCCTTTTAAAACCTCAAGGGTAACTGATCGAATTCGAAACCAGCTATGGCAAATTGACGAGACACGAAAGCATACGGAACGACAGCACACGGAGACGCGCCTGCGGAAGGTATCGTGTAACATCGCCAATGTATACGAGCATAAAGGGGAAACATACAGGCAACAAACATCCTGGAACAATAGCGTTTGTTATCGGCACAACGTCAGTTCCCGAACGTCTACCGATCGCCCACGGTAGCAGCTGTAATGTCGCTACTTTCGCGCCATCGATTTTTCCAAGGGACTGCACGGATGAATCGTATTTCGCTCGCGCGCTGCAAATATCGCTTTTGCGTGAACTTGCACGCTCGGAGCGAAAGCGATGTTGTGCGAACATCCGTGTTGCGTATATAAATTTCAAGATATCGGCAAAATCTCTCGTGCAAAAGAGAGAAAACGACGAGAACAAATTCGTATTTACCAGTATTGGAATTTAAATTTTCAAAACTGTGCGCAAAGAGCTCGTACCGCTTTTAAATTGATTAAAGTGACATTCCGATACATCGTGGATACGCGGCCACGAGATACCACTACCGTGCGCGCTGAAATATGACGATCCGATGAATTCAGAAGAGGTCGAAAACATAGAGGAGGGAAATGGAAATATAGTAATAGTCGAATAGTATATATATATATATATAACAGAGAAGGGAAGAGGGGAGCACTGTCTCTGTTAGTTATCGTAGACATATCTATATATATATATATATATATATATATATGGGTCTTTGATATCTTGTATCTCGAGAAGATCGTAGATCGTGATAACAGACTCACCTTAACCCGCTGTAGGTCAATCGGGTTCATGATGGTCCCCTGAAAGAACTCCACGGTGGTGAAGTGCCGCTTGAACAGTCCCTCCAGTTCGAGATCTGGCGGTTTCCTGAACGGGTCCGACAAAACGATACGATACTCTTTATAAATAACGTTCACCTCTCTCAATCGTCGGCGGGCGCCTTTTTTTGCGAGAATATTGACGAGCGGAAGCCGATCAGTGATCGGCGGAGATTTCATTAGAACGTAATTAAGAATAGTACAGATCTAACGTGCGCACACGCGGCTCTCGAGGGAGAACAACCGTCAGCCGTGTGTCGATTTTTCATGGATTTCCGTGCTCTACCGAGCGAATCTGCGGTTGATTAGTCGGGCTATGTCGTATCCACCGTCGAGAGGCACGAGTACGCCGCGAGAGGCGTATATAAGTAATAAATCTAAGTAAGTCTCTACTGCACGCTGAGTCGGCTCCATAGCTCAATACCAGCATACCATGCAGTCGCAGGCGGTTGCTTTCTACATAAATATATGTAAATATATATATATTTATAGATACGTATAGGTATCTTTCGCCGTCCGGTGTTGCGTGTATCCGCTTTATATTCGCACGAAGTGCACTCGAGAGCGCTACGTTACGTCGCCTCGTCGAATACACCTTGTCATACGTCGAATAGAGCTCGAGCGATCGTCGAGCCTCGTATCAAGTCGCGAGGAACGCGTGCCAACGACACACGCGATCAATGGTGATCACGCCGCACCGGACGGTTTCGATAGCTCGTGAGAGAAAGAAGAGAGCAAGAGAAGAGAGTAAGTTCTAGAAAGAACGCAGCGAGCATTCGACGTGGATTCGCGGGCATTGTGCCCGTGCCCGCGCATCCGCGGATACAAGATTCTATAAAGAAGTTGATGATGATGGCGATTATCAACGTGAGGCTGCATGACGTGATGTAAGAGTATGTAGATCTATAGATATAATATATATATATGCATAGATAAATATATATATATGTATATAAGAGTCGATCGAGACCATCACGGCGTGTTATATCCAGGCGAATAATCGTGTAATAACCTAAAGAACTGCAAGGAAACAAGAAGCGCGAGCGGCCACGTGGAGGGCATTGATGGAGGGTTGTTTGGTTGGTTGGTTGGTTGATTGGTAGAGGTTTTCGTGTTTTTGGTGGTTGTTCTAGGGTTCAGGGTACCTTGACGCGCTCCAGATCCACGGCATTCATCATGGTGCCCTGAAAAAACTCCACGGTCGTGTAATGCCTCTTCAGGAGACCCTCCAATTCGAGATCTGGCTCTTTCCTGGAAACACAGACCACTCCTTACGACTATAGCGATCAGACTTCACAGGCGGCCACGGTAGGCCACCTGTTCGCTTATCCCTGCGCGAACTGTCTGACGCGACGCCGGACGCGTCGTTCTTGATGGCAAATTGTCCGTTTGGAATTCGGGACGAGTAGCTTCGCGAGAGTGAACGTCGACATACCCGATGGCAAGAGTCCGTTTGAGATGAGTTTTAACGCTAGATAACGCTTGATTACGCTCGATAGGCCCGAAATTAATGGAATCTGATCGCTTTGAGTCGCATGGCGACAGGAAATCTCTCTCTCGATCATCGAAGGGCGACATATACTCACCGCGGAGTCGCCGACATAGGAAAGCAAATGGTATTTAGTATGGGAAAGATGATAAGAGATGAAGGATATATAGTGATGGTTGAAAGGTAAGTCGAGTGTCGATTGTGATAATCAGCGAGCGATAGTTCTCTATTTATGCAATAATATAAAAGATATTAGATATATATTTCACTAAGATAAATTGCACAAACCTCTATTCCTCGTGAAAATGCGTGAGAATACTGTTACATGAAATAAGAGATTCGAACGATCATCGTTCGTTCGCGTCCACATTAACGACGCGGTAATGTTAACGGTATGAGGATCGAACGAATGGGAAGAGAAGTCTCGTAAGATATGTACGTGCGTCGCGACGATAACCCTCTCGAAATTAGCCGCCCGCATGTCGGTCGTGGGACACACGACCGGCGATAACGTCGAAAGGGTTGAGGCGCGCCTCTACGCGAGTCCGCGAAGAAAAATGTCAATTATACAAAAGGCAATGATCATACCTATGCAAGAAGACAACTTCTACGTCGACGTCCTCGCGATCCTCGTGTAGGAAATCCTTGAGGAAGTGCGAGACCGATTCGTAAGTGATGTGGCCGCACACGACAATATGTCTGCCAACACAACGAACAGATTAGATTACGTCCTGTCGCGGGATGCGAGAGTGTTACATGGGAAAAGAAAGGGAAACTCTCACAAGCAACTACCATATACACGCTCTATGTAGTATATGTATATCAACTAGAGGCCCCGATTAAGTTCACCTCTGCCCCAGCAACCGCCGCTGCTGCCATTCGCTCTCGTTTGTTCTTTCCGGCGGATACGTTTCTCCAGGGTGAGTACACACACCCCGGTGTCTCACGACTCATAAATACAGACCGATGATTACGACACGAGAGAGCTCGAGCGGAGTGGCAGGAGGGAGCCGCGGGGTAGAGAAGAACGAACGTTGATGCCAGTGGGAAATCGAATTACTTTTTTTCTTTTTCCTTTCTTCGTGCCATTTTAGTCTGCTGCCACAGTGAGATTAAACCTGACTTTGTTTCATTCTATTAAACGACTCTAGTTCATTTAAGATTACTCATTTAGCAACTAACGCGACTTGTGAAAAGAAAAAAAGGGAAAAAGAAACGAAAAAGGAAAAAAAAACAGTTGAAAAAGATCAACAGTTGAAGAGTTTCTCGAGGAGTACTCGATGATCCGTATCGTCAAGTCGATACGTCGATCGAGTTCAATCGAAAGAGAGAAAACGGGCGTTAAAGTGATCGAAAGTCAAAGAAGTTACTCGGCACTTGAGCGATATGTATGCGCGCGTATCCACTTGAATACGACATAATAAATCGGTATAGACTAGGAAAAAAAGAACTTACCAGATTTTTGCGCTAGGGATTGGAGTGTGTCATTTTAACCAACTAAACGACTATACATGTATACACACACGCAACATACACACACACGCACGCACGCACGCACGCGCACACGTACACACACACGTCACACACCTAAGTGATTAGTTGCGCTATATAGGTGGACGACGCATATACATCAGGTTAATATCGACAAGTGTCAGATCGAATAACGCACGGGTGCAGGCTCATTCGTGTTATTGGTTATTGCAATATACGTAAAGCGCAAGACCCTCCTCTACGTGTGTAATCTCTACGTGCCGTGTGTATCGACAGTGACGTAATATTCCTACTCCTAAGTGCGACATAACACAAGGTACATAAGATTAGCGGTGCCTAAAGAAATAGACAATCGATAGACTTGCAATGTAGGAAAGATAGCAGAGTTCGACCATGATCATTCCATGCTCAACTGCCTTCTACTATTCGGTGAAGAGATCTAACGCTCGGCCGCGTCGTGAACTCAGCAGCTTCTTCGTCTTGTCGCGCGCACTCGGGACTCGTTTGGTCGCGCGGAGACGACGACCGAGAAAGGTACGGCAAATCTCGCGGATCGCGAGGTCGCCCTCGCGAGGTCTCGCCCTGCTGAATTCAATCGCGCGGACCCGGCAATCAGTCATCGGGGTTACAATACTTTCGCTCTAACATACGGGACCGACGTCGTGTGTGCGTGTACGTCGAAAGTGTGAGTGTTGTGGATATGAGAGGAGTCATTATATACGGTTCGTTCGGATTGAAGACGCGGAAACGCGTGTGTCGCGCGCGGCTCCGCTGGAAAATCCGTGTTTATTGGCCCGCGCGAGAAAAGTTCATACGCGTCCGCGCAACGAAAAAGCCGAATCTTGTCCCCTTCTCCTTGTTTATTTTGCTCGATATTTTCACTTCTTTTTCCCTATCATGACGAGATCATTCATGCAAATGTCTCTCTCTCTGCTGGTCGCCCCGGCACACCTCGACCCGCTCAGGGCGTGTGATTGATTAAAGCCCACGATATGCTTTTCGGTTGGACCAAGTCGATTCATTGTCCGACGGGACAGCCGCTATTGAAAGTTTGGATAAAACGACCAGTATTAATGGAACTTTCAGATGGGAAACGGTGCGCTGACAGCACACGGACGGTGTGTTGTCGGAGAGCGCGACAAAAATGCGTCCACGGTCCACAAATATCCGCCGCGGAGAAGTTTCGTATTGTCGTAAGAGACGAGCCCACTTCAGAATCGAGTATCTCGCGAATACGTGTATATATTCTCCATTGACCATGGCATCTCGCGTGTACGCGTGCATTCGGACAAGATGATAATGCGATCGGCTGCGTGTCTCGTTGTCGTGTAGCTTCTCCTTATTACGAAAGATCACAGCCACATTTGCGCCAATCGTGAATGACGGCTGAACCGAAAAGAGAAAGCCTGCCGTTCCTGATCTAAGTCGTCTCGGGGATTAGAATCCCTCAACGTGATGCGCGGTAATCTCGAGCAATAAACACACGTTGTACCCGAAAGGGTACAGTTTTCTTTTCCTTTCCCCTCTTTGGAGAGTTTACGAAAATTACGCAAGAAATGATTATTATTACTGTCTAAAACACCAAAGTTATTACACTGAAGTGATACAACATATTATAGGTTATATATATATATATGTATATATATATATGTATATATATATATGTGTGTAAATATATATATAATATATATGCATTCTCAATGTTCGGATAATGCAGGGTACATGCTGGGCGTTGACCCCTTGCACTCGGAGAGAAATACAGCTCGACATATTAAAATGCGCGGTTCGTTTAACAATAATAAAGTCGCTCGACCGTGATGCTCCATCTCGCGTGTCCATCGGGCAATTAACTCAAGACTCGACATGAATTTCATGACTCTTATATCGCGCGGCGAATTACGGAGAAATTTTCCGCGACGTTGCGGAATTCACGGCTTGTTAGCGCGACGCAGGATCACCGCTGTGGTCACATCCGTTTATCGCGAAGCACGTTATTTATGTCGCTTCGGTATTCGCCGTATCATAAATCGCTTCTGGTTGACACGATAATAGCGATGTTAATAGATGACGACTAAACGAGCAAATTGATCCGGACGGCTCTCGTTATAAACGCGTTTAAGTTAGTCAACTCGATTTGCCATCGCGAAGCGGGAAACGCGCAGAAAACGCTTCGCGTTTCGCGCTCTCGCGACGACAATTGAGGGAGCATTATCTGGAGCACTTCCGAGGCGAAGAAACTGCTCGCCGAATGTCCAGCCGTTTTACCGGGACTTTATGCGTACTTTTAAGCGCGATAAGCCGTATTTGTCCCAAGTGCGGTCGGTGTGAACAAACAAGCTAACACCAGTTGCTGGGTGTGGTAGGTCTGTGGTGGCAGACGGGCTTGGCTGGCTGGCTGGCTGGTTGGTTGGTTGGTTGGTTGGTTGGTTGGTTACTTGGTCGGTTAGTTGGTTGAAGGATTTTGCTGGTAGGCCTGTGTTTAGGATTGTTTTTTGGGGGGGTGGCGGCTGCACTAAGGCCGACTGACAACTAGTGCAATGAGCTGGTATGGAACTGCGGTTTTGCGATGCTAACACTGATCTCTAAATATATATAGATCTGTAAGAAGGACTTTCATTTCGGGTCAAGGGAGTTTCTTGACGAGGATTAATGTTTGTACGTGCTTCTATCGAGGGATTGCATTCAACGGGAAACACAGGACGACAGGAGGGAAAGAAATAAAGACCGGTCGTGTTACACGTGTATGTGAGCGTGTACATGTGACAGAAAAAGAGTAACAGGGGTAGTAGTGGTGTATGTGTGTGTGTATATGTGTCACAGGATAGAGATGCTAGGTGGAAAAGAGCGGAGAGAGTGATAGAGATTATATAGCCTTTCACGTACGGAAGGATGTAGTGGGCATGGTGGTAGTCGGGACCGGGGCTCAAATCGGGGAAGCTAATTGGTTTGGTTGTGTCTCTCACCTGCGACCTCGCTCGTTCTTCAAAGTGCCGCCATACTTGTTTCGCGTCCCGATCAGGTCAATTATCTCGGGGATACAACTGGCGAATATGGCCTACACCACGTAATAGAACAGAACACAACACTCGCATCAATACACTTGTGTGACAGGGTTGGCAATGATTTGCTTTTTTTTCTTTTCAATTTCTTTTTTTCTTGTCTTTTTTTTACATGTATCCTGGTTGGTCGATCAGTCAGTAGGTCGGTCGGTCGATCGATAGATTTGAATGTTTCCTGATGTCGCGTCGTGATGTCTCGGGTCATTAGTAATCGTCGCGCAGCGCGGTTACGCAATGCGTCTTTTTCCCTTTTCGTTCTCTTATATAGGTGACGAGGGGAAGGATATTTGCATTTTTATGAGCGGAATCAGAATTTGACTCGGCTACACCCGAATTACGCGGCTACTCATAGAGACACGATTATTAGTGCTGTACCGCTATGCGAGCCACGCCTTTGAGAATTAGTGATGTGTTGGAGACGAAATGTCACGTTCCAGATAAGAGAAAGGGCGGGGTAGGTAGGCTACCTACACCTAGGTCCTACACACCTACACCTAGGCCTAACGAGTACTACACGTGCCGACACGTCTACCTAGTCCATTGGTAGATATATTCGTATTTGCCGTATAACGTCAGGTCCCTGTCACTAAACATCCTAACATCCCTTCTTCACGCAACGTGATCTAACCGTGAGATATATCTCTTTCTCACGTGTTTCGCTCCCTATCCCTCTCGAAAACTCTTTGCTCCTAATTAGCACCTTTTCCGTCATTTAAACGCATCTATCCTCGCGAGAATTCTTACATCGTGTATTTTCTCCGAGGAAATAAAGAATTCTTCAGTTTACTGAAGGAATTATTAGAAATTTTTCTTTGCGGATATTTGCTCGTTGAACAAATAGATAGAATTTTCAGATTATTTTATTGTCGATTTTTAATCTCGACGCGCATAGATATTAAAATTTATTAATAATTAAAGGTATGCGGGTGCAAGTAGACGAGTCTATGTTTTCAAATAAATGTTTCAAGTAGAAAAAATAAGAAAGTATCAAAGTATCACGCGAATGCACTTTTATTTATCTATATATTTAACTGAAAAGAAGAATATATTAAAAGTATGGGTTATTAACGTTATTTAACTATATTTTTGATAATTAGACTGTCAGAGTTAGTAACTGACGGAGGACATGAAAATTCTCTTAACTTTTGC